ATTACTGGATCAGCTGCTTCTGCCATACTTTCAATAGCTGATTCATCAACTCCTCTTTTCATTCTAAAAATAATATTATTTAAAATATTTACCTAAAATTTCCATTTTCTCCCCATTAACTACCCCAACTATTTTATAATAACCAAAATTTAACTCCATTCTCTTCTCCCCAACCATAACATAATACTGAATGATCTACTTTTTCCTATTTATTATTAATATAATTTTATATACCCATTCTGGACGATCTTAAGTAGACCAATCATGTTCAGCAACTGAATGATATATACCACTCTCATAATACATAAAATCATATGATGGTTCAAAATTCATAATTACTGGACCATTTGTAAATAATTCCATCATTATATCTCTTTCATTACTTAATCCATATCCTCCTCCTATATATCTATAATTCTTTGCCCCATAAACTTTCTATTATTATGAAAAATCTATCTTTTTACAAGTTCCTACATCTCCTTTATATGGATATTATTCTTCTGTTACTAAATATTATTCAGATGCAAATTTCTCAACCAAAAATGGATAACCTCCATCACATCCCTAATTAAAATAATTACAATCCACTGAATATTATGGAGACAATGTTACCTATTCACCTTTCATTTTTAATCTTGCTGATAACATTTCCATTGTTGATATAGCATAACATGATCCACATTACTTTTATTATCTAGGAGCATCTAAATATTATTCTAAACTAAATGACTTTGGTAAACCAGAAACATCACCACCACTCTTTAATTATGTAAATGAACTCTTCTTAATTGTTTTACCTTAAAAATGCTTTCTTCTCCCTGCCATCTTATTCAATTCCAACATTGATTTACCTTCAAAGTTATCATATGCCTTAGCCTTCCATGTTTTTGGTATACTATTCAACTTTTCTACTGCCTCTTAATGATTATTAAAATTCTTATGTAATTTTACTCTATCTCCATGTCTTGTGCTTTTCTGAATAAATTCTGGTTATACTACACTAATTAATTAATAAGAATCTGTTGCTTCTACATCTCCATCTGTTTTCTTTGCTTTATAACAACCCTTCTCTCCTGTCTTTAAATTATTATACCAACCTATTAAAGTCTCACCACAATATGACTTATAATCAGATCCATTTGGACCATATTTTGAAAATGCAAAATATTTCACTCCATTATGTTCTACTTCAAATCCTTCATCATAAACCATAGTCCATTATCCACTTGTTTTTCTATCCTTATCTTAAACGCTGTAATCATTGCTCAAGTTCACTTCAAATGTATTCACTGCTTTAAACTCATCCCAACCTGCTTAATAAGATGATTCTTATGAATCTGGAACATGATGTCCACATGGAACTGAACCCATTCCTTTCATTTTTACCTAACCAACTTCCATTTTCCATTTGCCAGTTATCTAATGTTTTAAACAATGAACAGGAAGATCTGCTTAAACCAAACTTATTGTTAGTATACAAATCAAGATAAATTATTTCATTAAATTATATAAAAACGATTATTTTTTTCTATTAAACATATAATTCAAACATTTTTCCTATTTATTATGCTCCATATTATTTTAAATCTTACTATTCCTAAAATCTTCCTAATCCAATTATTACTAATTTAGTCTTAGAATAAAATAATAATTAATAATAGAAATTTTATATAATATTATTTATAATAATGATTGAAGAATTTCACAAAAGACTTCATGAAAATATTGATCTAACCCCATTATTATAGGCACTCAATCAAATTCCATAATTACCAACTATCGATTACCATTCTTAATTAACCCATGATGAAATATAAATATTAACTAAAATTTTTGATCATCAAGAATTGATTAGAAAAGACAAATTATCCTCAAAGCTAATAATTGAATTCAAATAATTAATTGATTAAATCCCTCATAAAGAATCTACATTCTATTAAAGCTGTATTGAACAATTTGAAAAACACGTAAAAAATTTAGATTATCATTCTCAACATGAAATATCTAATTGGTCACTATCAATAATGCCAATTCAAAGTGTTTAGTGGATTTTAAGTAATTGCATTTTATTGCCAGAATTATATTAAACAATGATTCACAAATTTTAATAGTTAATTCTTAATCAATTAGAATTAATTCAACCAGAAGAACAAATTGCTGAATAAATCCTCTTTCAATCAAACAATATTTAAGTCTTTATTTAAAATGAAAATATTATTCTAAAATCGAATCATCATATCAATAAATAAAGTGAAATGATTAATATCCTAATTGGATTCCTTACATATTTTGATTATATCAAAATAGATATTTCAGATTTCCTAATTAAAACAATTTCCTCAAAATATCGATAGTATTTCATCACTCTTTAAAATCCAATTTTTGATGAGGTAAAAATAATTACCAAATATGAGAAATAAATAAAATAATGTTTAGAATTTGCAAATCTTTCTGAAATTATTGATAAATAATATTAATTTACTTAATTAGATAAGTTAAAATAGAACTTAATAAAATTTAAAAACCATTATGTTGAGGCTATTGATAAATTGTAATTTAAATAATAAAAGTAATAAAATTGGAATTTAAGCTTTTTCAAATCAAAAACAGAAAACACTTAAAAAGTATCTAATCAAGTATTTGATTAATTGTAAAACGATTGGAAAATATTGGATTCATTCTTAGAAAATAACACAGAAAAAAATGAATAAATATATTAACTGATATTTGATCATATTCGATTGTTAGATGTATGTTTGGATTACAAATATTTGTAGCATAATTTTCAATCTCTCAATTTTTATGTTACAATATATTCTTAAATGGATCAAAAATTGATAAAGCTATTATAGCATTGGAAAAATGAACTTTTAATAGATTATTTATACAACATAAAAATAAAATTGAGACAATATTCATTTTAAGCAAGCGAATTTATTGATATTTGATTATATATATATAATAAAAGAAATAAAGTTAATAAAAATTAAAAATATTCAAATTTATGAGTTTTATTTCAAAATTATTTTATAATATGACTTTGTAATTCTATTTTTAAGGCTTTATATCATTGGTAATTATTGAACATGAAGTAATGTATTTTGTATTTATGTAATTATGCCATAAAGAACGTTTTTCTGTAAAAATTAGGCTAAGTGAGGAATTATTTGAGATTGATCATCTAGCAGGATATATTTGGATCAACTCTGCAGTTTTGATATCATTTCTTAATTTTTTTAGCATATAAAATAGATATTTATAAGTATATAACGATTGTATGAATTGGTAGAAGAGAATAATACGAAAATAATAAGAAGGGATGGTAGTTATGTTCATTTGTAATGGTGATCTTATGGTTATAATAATATTGAATGATGGAAGTGTAAAATGAAATAAGCAAAATAAGCATAAACATAAACATAAAAACGAAAATCATTACTTTTAGATGTGAATAGCTCTTTTTCTACAATTAGTTTATTTGGTCTATGATATAGCAAAATTAGAGTTTCTCAAAAGTGATTTAAGAGTGTTCAAATTTTATTATCTATCATTATCATCCTATGAAGATTAAGGAGTTTGAGTTACATCAGAGAGCTGTGGTTATAATAATTTCAATATACATTTATAGTTTATTGAGATAATGGAAGCTTTTTTTTTTGAATGGAACAGCCCATAATAAAAGGATGAAATGAAAGTATAGGTTTTTGTATAAATTAATATTTAATATTCAACCTAGAAATATTATTAAGAGTGATATGAATGATTACAAAAACATTAATTATGGATGAGATAAGGCTTTAATATGTAAAACCTAATCAAATCTATTTTTAGACTAAGATTAAAAATATGGAGTATGTGTTAGTAATAAAATTCATGAATCACAAAAAAAATAAGGAGTATTATAAAAATTTAATTAAAATAAAAAAAAGGGTTGTCAACACGAGGACTTCCCAAGCGGTCCCCCACCTTAGTACTAACCTCGCCTTAAGCCGCTTAACTTCGGAGTTCGAATGGGATCCGGTGCTTTAGGCTTAGTATGGCCGACAACGATATTAGTAATATTATTTAGTATTTAAATGCCTTGTTATTGGATATTTTAATATATTTAATATATATATAATTGTATATTATTTAGAGATCAAAATATAAGAGATATAATAATAATAATAAGAATATATTATAAATTTATTAATACTATTATATATAATGAGTAAGAAATTTGAATGTGTAAGAGTGGTTATTCGTTGTCGTCCATTAAATGAGACAGAAAAAAAAGATGGACGCGTTTGTATAGTAAATATGGACACAAAGAATGGGTAGGTAACAGTAAGAAATCCAAAAATAGTGGATGAAGTACCAAAATAATTTACTTTTGATTAAATATTTGACACTTAATCTCATTAAGAAAATGTTTATAATTCAACAGCATCTCCAATAGTTGAAAGTGTATTAGAAGGATATAATGGAACAATATTTGCCTATGGTTAAACAGGGACAGGAAAAACACATACAATGGAAGGTAAGGATGATCCACCAACATTAAGAGGTATAATACCTAGAACATTTGATCATATATTTGAAAGAATAGAAAATATGGCAAAGAATAAATAATTTTTAGTAAAAGTTTCATTTTTGGAATTATATAATGAAGAGATTCGAGATTTATTATCAAAGAATATAAAAAACAAATTAGAAATTCGTGAGAATCCAGATACAGGAGTTTATATAAAAGATTTAAGTAAGTTTATGATAGAGAGTCCTTAAGAAATGAGAGAGAAATTATTACATGGTAGAGAAAATAGAGCAGTAGGTGCAACAGCTATGAATTAAGATTCATCACGTTCACATTCTTTATTTTAAATAATAGTAGAAACTAATGAAATGGTATAAGGATAGAGTCATGTGACGGTAGGAAAATTAAATTTAGTAGATTTAGCAGGTAGTGAAAGATAAAGTAAAACTCATGCTACTGGAGATAGATTAAAAGAAGCTATTAATATAAATTAATCATTAACAACTTTAGGTAATGTTATAAGTGCATTGGTTGATAATAAATCATAACATATTCCTTATAGAGATTCTAAATTAACTCGACTTTTATAAGATTCTTTAGGAGGTAATACTAAAACAGTAATGATTGCAAATATTGGTCCAGCTGATTATAATTTTGATGAAACTATATCAACATTAAGATATGCTCATAGAGCAAAGTAGATTAAAAATGAACCTAAAATTAATGAAGATCCAAAAGATGCTTAAATTAGATAATTTTAAGAAGAAATTTTAAAGTATAAATATTTTTCATATCTTTTAGATTAAAATAATAATTAGAAGCTTCAATAGAAGGTGGTGGAGGAGGTATGATGAATTCTGGATAAGAAGTTTTAGTTTAAAAGGTTGTTAAAGTTAAAAATGTAGATAAAATTAAAGAAGCTGAAAATATAATTGAGAGAGAAAAAGAAGAATTAAGAAAGAAAATTGAAGAAGAAAGAAGAAAAATTGATTAATAGAAAAATTTAGGTGAAGAAGAAAAAATGAAATTATTAAAAGTAATAATATTAAATATTCTTAATAGTAATTATAAGAAAAAGAAGAATAAGCAAATAATGCTCGAGAATCATAATAAAAATTGATTAAAACTATTCAAAAAATGGAATAAAAATTAGTTATTGGTCATACTGAAGTAGAGGAAGCAAGAAGAAAAGAAAAAGAATTAGAAGAAGCAAGAAAATTGATTGAAAAAGAAAAAGCTGAAGCTGCAAAAAGATCTTTAGAATTATAAAAGAAAGAAGAATTCAATTTAGAATTATAAACTAAATATAATTCCATAAAGGAAGAATTGGAAGATAAAACTAGAAGAATTAAAACACTTTAATAAAAGACTCGTTAATTAGAATTTGAAAATAAAGAAACAGATGAATTTATGGCTAAAGAAATTGAAGATCTATAAATGAGAAAAAGAGAAATATTATAAGAGGTTAAATTAAAACAATTTATACTTGATTATTTTATTCCCCCTAAATTTTTAGAAACTATGTAAATGCTTGCTTTCTATAATGAACCAGCTGAAGCATGGACTATTTAAGGATTAGATTATTCAGGAAAAATGACTAAAACTTAAATTTAGCAAGCACTTTAAGAATAATAATAAATTAATGCTACTGATTAAATTAATAGTGAAGAAAAGTTACAAGAATTACTCAATCATCCTAATGTTTATTTTGCTTATACAGAAGAGGGACTGATAAGGGAAGAATAATTAGCACCATAAGAAAAAAAGAAAGTTTAAAAGAGATTACAATCTGCTAAGAAACCTTAATCAGCCAAAAAGAGACCTTCATCTAAAAGAATTGAATCTGCCAAAAAGAGTGTTAATTTACAAGAATAGAACTATCCAAAAGCTAAAGGACTCTCATAAAAATGAGAAACATTAATAAATATTATAAGTTTATATTATTAATGTAATAACAAGAGAAAAATCGCATTTATTATGGAAGGTTTGTCTAAAAAGAGAAACTAAGTGCAGGTAGCATTTCATTATATAAAAAGGATCTTTTGGAGTTGTCTATATTTGTTAAGATAAAGTTTCTCGAGAATATGTAGCTATTAAAGTAGAAAAAGAAAATGGCAATTTATTGAGTTTAGAAAGAGAAATATAAATAATTGAAGAATTAAGAGGAATTTAAGGTAAATAAATTAAATTATATGAAGGCATTCCTAAATTATATTGGTATGGAAATGAATATAACTCAAATTGTATGGCCATGCAATTATTAGGTAGAGATCTCTCGCATTATTTAAAACGTTATCGAAAGTTTTCTATGAAATGTATTTGTAATTTGGCAGAACAATTATTAAATATAATTGAAGAGGTTCATAAGAGGTAATCTATTTTCTTCAAAATTTAAGAGGTGTAATTCATAGAGATATAAAACCAGAAAATATTCTTATGGGAAGAAGCAATGATACTAATACAGTTTATATAGTAGATTTTGGTATTTCTAAAAAATTCAAACTTAATGGATAACATATGTAATCTTTATTATATATTAATCCTAGTCCATTTTAAGAATAAAAACCATTCATGGGTACTACGAGATATGCAAGTATTCCAGCACACAAAGGATATGAATTATCAAGACGCGATGATTTAGAAAGTTTGGGATATGTCTTTATTTATCTTCTAAAAGGTAATTTCGATCCTATTTTTAGGCAATTTACCATGGCAAAATATTACTTCATCTTCTGATAAAGAAAAAACGAAATTAGTTGGTAAACTTAAAATGGAACTTGAAACTAAAGATTTATGTAAAGGTTTACCGACTGAAATTTAAAGATACATGGATTATGTTTAAAAACTTAAATTTGACTCAAATCCAGATTATAAATATTTATTTGGTTTATTTTAAAAGATTGCTAAATAATAAGGATTTTAATTAGATAGAAAATTTGATTGGAATGATCAATCAACTACTTCAACTAAGTCTTCAGATGGATAATAACCAAGATTATCAGGCAAAGAATTTGAAATTGGATAAGATGAAATCTTTAAAATTGATAAATCTGAAAAAAAAAATAAAAATTGTGAATCAAATCTTAGTTAATAATCCTCAGTCATGTTAAATTATGTGCCATCTGTTATTCAATAGATAGGCGGTAGATTTACCTCAAAATCAAATGGGTATTTTATATGATTATTGAATTAAGTCGTTCTAGATAAAATTCAAGGTAAAGTTCTTTTTCACGAGAATCCTCATTAATGAAATAATAGACTGGTTAAACTAAAAAAAAGGAAAATCATTTATAAAAAATAGGATAATTTTAGGATTTTGAAGATTTAGAAATATAAAAAAAACTACCAAAATAAAAATAAAGTGATTTTTAATTTGATGATTTTGGTGATGATCTCAATGATGAAGGAAATCTGGAAGCTAAATTGAAATAATTCGAACCAATTCAAGTACATTTCAAAGAGCATCTTTCCAAATCTTGAGAAATATTTACTCCATATACCTCTTCTAATGATTTGTATTAGAATTTACATACTATTTTTCCTTATTTATTATAGAAATTATATACAAAAAGTTAATTTACAAATATTTTTCTGACGTCATTCATACGGATTGGCAAATGCTTTTATATTTGATTTATAATATGAAATTAAAGGAGTATCCAAAAATACAAATTACAAACCTAATTTATTTAATTTTATACTATTATCTTTTTCAACTATTTATTCAATTAAACATTTTGTACAAAATTAAAACAAGTTCGTTTTTGGATATTCTGTCATTCCTATCAAAAAAATAATGTATTGTTTATTTGATTAAAAAGATTTTAAATGATAAATTTGATTCCTATCCATATTTTTAAAAATCTCATATAAAAACATTAAAAAACAAGGTTTTATTGTAAGAATTTCATCAAAGTTTGTATTTGTGAATTTAATTTTAAAATTAATTCTCCTAAAATAATTACATAATTTATCTATTGTTTTGTGTGGATTGATGTTTTTCAATTTCTTTAAGTTTTAATCTTCAAATAGTAAACTTTGTTTATGAGATATTAACAATTTAATTGCTAAATTTATTTAATTTTGCTCAACAATAGACTTTAAAAACTTGCATGTTTGTCGAATATGTTTTAAAAAATATTTCAAGTACATTTAATGTTATTAATAAAATAATTTTTGCATCTGTCTAATATCCTTATCCTCTGATTAAAATACGATAATAAAATTAGGCTGTCCCAAATAGCAACCTGAAATCAATAATTATATTTTTTTCTTTTTAAATATAATTTGTAATTCTTAAACAAAAGGCTAAAATGAAGAAGGATTACAAGATATTATTTAGAAATAAATATATTCCTATAAAGTTGAGTTTCCATATTTGGCATCTTTTAAAAATTAATGAACAATATTATTATTCTCAAAAGGAAAACCCAATTTATTAATCATTTTTAATTAATATGAAAATTAATCTTGGTCAAAAGTAAACACAAGAAATGGTTTTGTTAAAATAAATGGCAGCATAATTTCTAAAATAATAATTTTATTTACCCCATGAATTATCTTTTAAAGTCATCAAAAATGAAGATCTTTAAAATTTTTCAGACTAATATAAAATAATAATAAAGCCAAAGGTAGTTATAAATGCAACCACTAATTATATATAACTAATTTTTGTATAAAGACCAGTGACAGATAATCTTATAACTAACATAGCAAAGTTGGACACCACAGCATAATTGAAACTTTAAGTAAAAATTATTATTGTGTGAATAAGCATAGTATTACATCCATAAAGGTAATAATTCAATTCATCATAAGAATCATCTTGCTCATACTCAAATGCTGCAATCAATAAATTAATTATAACGAGCCCCTTATTTACTTAGCCTTTATTTTTTTTTACAATTAATAAAGTTATCATGAGCATAATTACTGCTATCACTCTTGTGATTATGGTTCGAACATCAAGCTTAATTATTTGGAATATCAAAGAAACCACAAAGTATAAAATGGAAGAGTATGCACAAAATTTAAAAGTAGGTATTTAAACACTATCGGCAGCTTATTATCTAAATTTACTTTCAGTTGTGGCATCTCTAAATTATAGAGTATACTTATTCATAATTAATCAATTTTGAACACTAAATATTATCTTATATTTATGACATCATTAAATAATATAATAAAATTATAACCAATTCTCATTTTATAATCATTTTTATCTCCAAGCTTTGAACAAATGATAGTGCTCAGGAAATCCTTCAATTAACTTTATACCACCTTTCTTCAGACTATTTTAATTTAGCTGTTAGGTGAAATCAACAAAATATTAAGTCAATTTTTTAATTGTACAATCAAGTTTACTAATTTAAAATTTAATCAAAGTTATTACTATGTTTTTAAATTCACTTATTCCTTTCTATATTAATTAGTTTATATTTATAATATTTTTCTTCTATAACATTCTGAATTCTTAATCTAATTAAGCAATTAGAATATTGAAAAAATTAAATCTATGTTTGCTTCTCAATATTAAACATTATTAAGCAATAATATTTTTAATAAGCTTGGAGTTTTTACTCAAATATACTTTAAATGCTTCTAAAAAATGAAATTTCTATTTTATCTAATTCTTAGTCTCAAAAAATAAATGACTCATCACTATATAAAAATAAACAGTTAATTCAACATCAGTATTTCCATATATTTTTATAACCCTTTTTAATTGTCGATAGTTCTGATGCTGTTTTTAAATATAATTAAAAATTATTTTCATTCATATATGCTATTATTGAAAGGGCTTTATATGTAAATTTATAGCTTGCTAAATATCTACTTATAAATATGTATAAGTCAACTTTTTCAAATCCTGAATATATTTTTCTGGCTGTTTTCCAAATAACTTCTCAAATTCTATCAGATTTATTTTCAATATATTACTTATAACTCCGTTTTATTATGTTCTCTAACTTATTCCAAAAAACACATATTTTCAAATACCATTATCATACACTCTAAAATCTAATCTATTCTTCTTAATATATATTCATTTTTGTCATCAAACAAATGTAAAAAGCGTTAAAGCCTTTTTAGAAAGGATCAAATGATTTCTGGATTTTGCTCTTTTTCAATATTAAGTTAGCTTCTTTTTAAGAATTATCACCTAAGTCATTTTTAATACAATTTATATAATGATTTATTTGTTTCAATGAGTTACTTATATTATCTCATTCTTTCATCAATTTTTTATCAATTTCCCTTTCATTATACTATCATTTAATACTATTTATAACAATCTCAATTTTGCTTCATTTTCCTTGATATTTACAAAAATAGTTTTATTTTAAAGAATTATTATGGTGTAATTGGCCGTTAAATAAATTAATCAATAAACTATTTATTTTTATATAATAAGTTGTTTGGCTTATCCTCTGTGAGAGTTTGTAAAGAATTTTATATAAACATCAAAATAGCATTTTAAATTATTTATCATCAATAAAATAAATATGAATTATGATTCTCAAAATTATTAGTTTAACAAATTAAATTGATCATTTGAAATGTTATCAAAAGTATAGATTTAATTAAACGAAGAGTGGACCTCTTTGAAGATCCAAAAATGAGCTAATCATAAATAAAAAATATATTTACAATTTAAAACTTATATGTGCTTTTCAAAAACTAATCTATGGCAATATTAAAATTGTTAGTCTTCAGGCAATTTATCAATACCTGAAATTGATAATTATGGAGCCTATGCTTCCTAATTTTAATCAATAATAAATGATATCAATGATGTTCTATGAGATTATCTAATTATTGATATTATAAAATAGTATAGTTCTGGTTTGTATGTAAAAATGATATACTCTTATTTCGCATGGAAGTATATTTTATATTTATATTTGACATGAAAGATTTGATTAAATTTTTGAAATAGCTATGACATATTGATTCTGATTAATTTTGTATTTCTAAAAGATTACAAAATTCGAAATTCAAGAACAGAAATTGATACTTCACTAATCGTTTACATTTTGCATTTTTTTAGGCTTTTATTTAATAATTTAGCAAGTTTCTTTAATTAATTATTATACTTTTAAGTGATTTCATTTAGGTGGTTTTTGTATTTAAATTTTAAATCAATAAAAGCTTAATCTGCTGCTTCAATAACGATCATAAATCTAATTGTATCAACAAAATAAATTAATAATTTGATTTTCATTCTGCTTTTTTTATATTGAATCTCTAATTTTTAACAATCTATTTTATTTACTAAAGTATTGAACTTTTAATATTTTTGAAATAAATATTTTTATAGTGTAAATTTTTCATATTTACACTCCTTAAGAAATTCACCAACAGAATCAAATTGCATTTCTTAGCTCTCTGTCAATGATTTATTGATTGCAATTTATTAAAAAGAAAAAGAATCCTTATCAAATTTGAAAATTAGAAAAGGCTTGCAAATTACAAACGGTAATATTTTTTCTAATTATCAAATATTTAATAATACCCCAAGTGGTGTCTTTTGTTTAATATAAATAAGATCTTCTTTGATATAACTCTGATTAATATAATAAGCCTGAAATTCCAAAAGTTATCAATACCGTGTAGAGATATTATTGAAATGTTATAAAATCTTCATTTATGAAAGTAATAGCTACTCGCGTTATTGATAAAAGAAAGTTGGTTAACAATCCAACTAAAAAATCAGAACCCATAAATAAAATTGCATGCGTAAGCATTTAATTACAACCAAATAGATATCCTTAATAATAAGTATTTTCATAGCTAGGTTCAATTTCAAGTGATATAAGCATGAAGTTGATTATTAATAAAGTTAAATTGGGAAACTTCTTAAATTGTTTAAAAAGGAGGCACATCAACATTACTATTACAAGTATGGCTGCTTTATGGATCAAATAATTATAATCATGTTAAACTATTTCATATATCAGTTTGCTGCCAACTATAATTGTTGATAAAACGTAAGTGTATATGAGAATAGGTTTTTACCATGAATTAAATTTATATAATCGATAGGAGTTTTCAAGAGTAGTTTCCTCAAATTTCAATGTATAAATATTCATATATTTTAATAACAAATATCTCATGCTTTATTTTTAGATTATCAATTCTAAATAAAATATTCAGCGTATTAATGACGGATTATCTGATCTTTTAAATTAGTAGAGGTGGTTCATAAAAATATATCTTAATCTAAAAACGATTAAAAATATAGATTAAACTATGGCGAATTCTGCGTAAAAAATATTGAGGAGTATTAGAGTTAAACAAATTAATAATTAAATTTCGAAAATTCAAACTAATTGTACAAGCAACTTTATAATTAACATAAAGTCGAGTAATTAATCTTTTTTTTCTTTATTGTAGTTATAATTTTAGTTTTTTTTAAGCAATCTATCATTAGTTTATACTTAGGAAATAATAGAAGTAAATATTTTTTTTAATTTTATCAATTCGATTTTTTGGAAGCGTTTCTATTTTCTTTGAGCCAAGATTTTTTTTTTCTAATAACAGGCAAAGTGAAAATGGATTATTACAAGATTTACATGATAAAATTTAATTTGAGGGGCTTTGGTTGCTTTGATTTTATTTATTTTTTTTTCCGTCTAATTTTTTCAAACCTTTCTCTCTTGCTGGATAGAATACAGTCCTAAAAATTTGTATCCACCATTAAGTATGAAGTTTTATTGGAAATGGAGAAATTCTTTAAGAGAAATAAAATGAAATAGCTTTCAATGGAAGGAGATTATATTGTACTTTTAATATTAAAAGATTTTTTTTCATATTTGAATAAGACAACAGTTCTATAACCTATGAATTTAGGTATGCTGAGTGGTTTATAATAATAATTATTATCATCCTGATGGTAATTATTAACAAACATTTAATAGAGATGCAATTTTGTTTAATAATGAGAAAAAAACAATCTCATTTTTTTTAAAGTGTAATGAATAAATGTTAAATATTGTTTAGCTATTTTATTAATTGTTCTCTAAATAAAAAAGAAAGATAAAACTATATTTCCGACGATTATTTTTATTATAGATTAATCAATTAGATTAGTATAAATGAATAATTATTTCTGGAGAATTAATAATATCAATAAAATAATAATTTAGAAGGATTTATAACATTAATAATATAATTTAAAATTCATTTTTAAACATTCAATATATCTGAAAAAAGATTCTTGACAGATTCTTGACATAAAATGAAATCTTACTTTACTTTTCTTAGTTTCAAGTTATTTAATATAAAAAGAGTAATTGGTTTTTAATATATATGATGATCTTTAGAAAATATTCCTTAAATTTAATAGGATAAAATATCCTTCTTAAATTACTTTATCTTCTAGAATTACAATTGTGGAAATTTATTCCATAAATATGAGAATAACTTTTTTTAGTTTGCTTGAGTAAATTATGCAAAATTTATTGAATACCATCTTGTACATTTATAAAAAACTACTATCAGATCTAGATCTATTAAATATTCTATTTTTAATCCTTTAAAATCTCTTGCAAGATTGAAAAAAATTATATTATCCTTCCGAATTTTAAAAATATAAAAATATAATATACAATAATCTAATTAAATGCAGGTACATAGCATTTGATTAAGCTGTTAAATCAAAAGTAAAAATTTTCTTCTAAATTAATTTGATGATTAAAGTAATATTGTAATAATAGTATTATTAAAATGTAAAAATTGTATATAGGTAAGGTTAAAGAGGTGAATAAGTAGGAAATATATAAGTTGTTAATTCAGTATGGATTAATAAAAAGCTTTGAGGATAAGGATAGCTTTTGCTTTGTAGAATATTACTATGAGAGTGATGCTCGAATGGCTTAGTATGAATTAGATGGAAGATCTGTTTGTAATAATAGAATAGTAGTCTAATTTTCGAAGGCATTAATGAAACAGGAAGACTTATTAAAGGAAGCATTACCATCATCTACTCGTAAGATCTATGTAGGAAATTTAAATCACAAATTCACTAGTTAAGAATTAGTTGAGATCTTTAATAGGTTTGGAAAGATATTAGATATAATATTTAAAGAGACATATGCATTGATTGAATATCCAACATAACAATGCGCTACTGAAGCAATTTTGTATATGAACGAGAAGAACTGCAAAGGTGAAACTTTGAAAGTAGATCTCTAGAAAACTTATGATGAAGTTGTGAGTTCCAGTAATCGTATTTATATAGGTACATATTTATGATCAAAATTGAATAGGAAAGATTGGTAATTTGAAGAAAATGGATTTAATTTTGAATTTTGGATAATTTGGATTTATTGAAGATATTAGTGTAAAGGATGATCTCTATGCATTTATTTAATACAGAAATAATTTACATGCCAGTAGAGCTATTAAGGAAATGAATAATAGTGAAATAAAAGGAAATAGAATATAGGTTCAAGAAGCCAGATGTAAAATAGGAATTTAATATCAGCTAAAAACCATTTGCCATTAAATTTTAACATCAGCCAATTTTTACCTTAGCATTCCAATTTACTAGATTAGTTAGCTCCAACTCAATTATTAAACAAAGGCCCTGAGGATAATAAGAATACTATTTTGTAAAAACCAAGTAGAAGTAGAAGCAGAAGTAAAGAAAAGAAAACATGTTAAAATGGGTTGGCTATACTTAAAGATCTTGAATTAACTTGAATTTATTATATATAAGCAATAATCTTTTTATTATTTAGATTATAAGATGGAAAGAGAAAAATACTTAAAAATTTGTAAAGGAATGAAAAGCTTTTACTGAAAAAGTGTGAATTCTACAATTTAATTCATTCAAACTCTCAGATCAGATCAAATAAGCAACTTTTGAGGAATGGATATAATAATTTGCATTCTTTTTTAAAAGTTTATTATTGGGATATTTAGGATCATGAACTATTTGTTTGAGTAGACTTCGCTAGGATTAGCATTGCTTTTGGAATGATAATTCTAATGAAAGCATAAATAAATGATAGAAACTATGAAATATATTTAATAAGATGTAAAAAATCTTAAATAATTAAAGAAATATTATTGATCATTAATTATAATTAAAAAAAAAATAATTTATCAATCAAAGAAAAGATGACTTCAGCTCTAGACTACGATGTAGACTAGATGTCTGAAATGTTTATAAAATTAAGTGGTTAAATAATATATAGATGGAATTCTTGTGGTTAAATTTGTAAATTTTCATAGAGAAGTCATCCTTAAATTGGTTATTGTGATTATTTGAAACGTCTTCTACTTTATAGTGATTGTTCAATTCAATATTAAGCAATAGTGTTAATTTATCTTGATAGATTTACTAACAAAAATGAACATTTATGGTTAGATTAGGCTAGTTTATATAGTCTCACATTAGTGTTACTAGTAATTTCAATAAAATTTTGGAATGATCGTAAATATGGAAATAAATATTTTGCTAAGATAGGTGGAATATCATTGAGATTAATGAATGAAATGGAATAGGAAGTATTAGAATTAATGAATTATGATCTATTTGTTTAGGATGATGTTATTTTTAGATACATGAAATATTTTAGCTGATGATTATTTATAAATATTATAAAAATGATTATATAAGTTGTATATAATAAAATAATTAGCGCTAATTTTTATTTAAATTTAAATTAATCATTAAAGATGGACACCCAAAAGGGCAAAAGAATGGGATAAGGTAAGCTAGCAGGTGCCAAAAGACATAAAAGTAAAATGAATAAAGAAAAGAAGGGGGGATAGCATATTACAAATGGAGATATCCGTAGACTTGCTCGAAGAGGCGGAGTAAAAAGAATTTCATCAGATTCTTACTCAACCACTAGGTATTATCTGAATTTATTAAATAAGAGATGTCATAGTTAGTTTTTTATAATCCTTAGTGAAAGATGCCATTATATACACTGAACATGCGTAAAGAAATACTGTTTAAGCCATGGATGTAGTTTATGCTTTGAAGAAGTATGGAAGAAACTTATTGCTGAATACAGACTGAATTATCATAATTTTGAATTCCATCATCATAATTTATAATTCTTTGTAATATCATAAAGAAAAGAGAATGGAAAGTTTTATTTTATCTATTGTTTTTAAATTATCAATTATAATCAAAATAATATAATAAGAAATTATATATACATCTAAACACTTATTATGTTGCCAGTAATTCATTCCTTTACTTGCGAACGTATTCATTACTTTATGAATTCCTATTATACAGTGAATATACATTCTGATTAAATTAGAATTAACAAGGTAAATCTTATAATAAGAAATCAAAGTTTAAATCATAAACCACAAAGTATATTTGCCCGCTCGATTTTGAAAACAAAGTCTATTGGTATACAGAACAATAGAAGATTCATGCTTTTGGGATAATAGTAAGAAACAAAGTAAAGTTCTTTAAGGGAAATCATAAAGATATGGAAGAAATGCGAAAATTAATAGCATGTAAAATTATATTTGATGGGATTGTAAGTTTATACAAATGCAATCGTTAAATAGGAGAGGGAGCAGATAGTAAAGTATTTAAAGTTGAAGACATTGTTAATAAATCTTCATGGGCATTAAAATGTTTAGAGAGAAAGGATGATTTTTATTAGGAAATAAGAATGCATTAGAACTTAGAACACAATCATATAATTCAATTTAAAGAATATTTTTAGGGTGAATAATATTATTATATTGTAATGGAACTTATGGGAGGATAAACATTATCAAAATTATTTGAGAGAAATCTAATTACAACACATTAACAATGCAAAACTATTATTTAAGTAATTTAATCTATAAATATTAGGCTCTATTGCTTGCATTAGTCTACTTAAAAAATGAGGGTATTATTCATAGAGACATTAAGCCAGCTAATATTATGTTTTCATAATGTGGAAAGCTTGATAGTTTAAAATTAGTAGATTTCAATTTTGCTATCAGATCATCTGATACAAATGTTTAACCTATATTATATGGAATGTATACTGCACCAGAAGCATTATGTGATAATCCTATCTATACAGATAAAATGGATGTTTATAGTTGTGGAGCAATCTTATATAAATTATATTCAGGAGAAGATATTCATTCTATCAAATATATGTAAGAATCTAATTTGTTTTACAACATTATAAAGTCAGGGTCCATTGATTTCAAAGTATTAGAAAAAACTAGTGTACCTAATAATGCCATTTAATTGATTAAAGCTTTATTAGAAAGTGATCCTACTAAAAGAGTCACTGCTTCAGAAGCATTACAATTTGATTACTTTTAAAGTGATTCTTTAAGTCCTATTGAAAAGAGATCTCGTTTTTAACAAAGATATCAAAATGATAGTTTAAAAATTGGAATAACTGCTGATTTTGAAATGAATATTGGATAAGATGCTAAATGTGCTAATGTCAGATAAATCGAGATTAATCATCACCCTTGATATTTTTTTATGTATTATTGATATTAATAATCTACTATATTTTAATATTTTATCTGATCTTTTATCTTTCATTGTTTCATAATCCATTACTAATGTTTATTTCTTTTGTTGATATAAATAATAATGTTAGAATATCAATATTGAATCAAATACTATAGTTAACAACCATAACACAAATTTTGCTTGATTAATCTCAAAGTTTACTTTCATTATCTAAATCTCAAATTAACATCTAAAATGAATTGATCCATTACTGCTTGAACCACACTGATAAAATCCCACCAAAAAAAAATTAAAATAGGTGTCAAGGTTCAAAGAAAAATTAAGATTGCCATTATTTATATTGATAATTTGTTATCCCCAAACTGTAATCTAAGAATTTTATACAGGATATATTATCATTTGATCTATTATTATTAAAGTGCACAATAACTTTTGATATGCGAATAATAAATCTTTCGAACGGATTGTACCAACATTCAAAGATTCATCCAGAAATTTAGCTGTACTATATATTTAATCCAACATAATCAACACTTAATCCATTCATACTATCACTTAAATTATAATGAATTCTTTTTCAATTTCTAATTCTCATATATTTAAGAATAAAAAACTGATTCTCCCTTCTAAAAATAAGACCATTCTATTATTACACTAAGTATCTATAAAAATGTCATTAATTATTATTATATTCTAATATTAAATATATTATGATTTTATTATTAATTTCTTATGATTAGTGCTAAATTATAAATATCGGAAATACTTCTATCAGACCTTCTACTAATTCTTGCTGTTTCATTTGGTATAACATATCTCTATTTAAGAGTCTTTTGTATAACCTACTATTCAAACTCTCATCCTTGCAAGCATTATCATTTTCTTTACTTTCATTACGGCTTTCTATAAAATACAAAATTTAATACTCAAAAAGCAATAATAAAAATAACTTCACATAATATTTAACCTGAGACTTTTAACTATCGTTTTATTTTGTGCACTCTCAAATTAAGAACTAACTTTATTACTCATAAATCATTTGGATTTATAGTTCAATATTAAAATAGCTATCCTAAGTAAATTAACACTTTCAGCTATCTTATATGATTCTTCTAATCTCATTACACTACCTAAAAATTTAGTATTCTATTCTTATTTTTTTTTTGTATTTCTACAGATTGGAATACATTATAAATATACATAGAATCAACAAAATGAGTAACTACCATAAAAACTCACTTAGGATGCACCCCCAACATTTCATGCTAAATCTTAAGAAATTAAATCGTTTAGATAAGATGAGAATTCAAAATCACCTGGAATGTCATCTTCTGACATTAAACCATTATAATTGAACAGTGTTTAACAAGTGATAAATGAAGATGATATTATCATGACTAATATGTACTAATGAGTGTAAAAAGAATTAAGGTCGTGGATTTCAAATCAGTCTGTTTTAGTTTACAATGTAGAATTTACTATTGTGTATTAAACATTCTATCTTGGAAAATTATAGAAAAACATAGGTGACAAATTAGATTGCGAAGCTATGTTTTTGGAATCTACCATAATAATTGGGTGTAAAGAAATAAATGAACTCTTAGGTTAATCAGGATTTAGTGATTCAATATTTAGTGAGTAAATTTATAAAGTATAACATTTAGCGGTTCATTTTTATTAAACAATTTAAATGAAATTCATAAATGTAAAATCAAAGGTTAGTTTTCACTTAAGGNAATCCAACATAATCAACACTTAATCCATTCATACTATCACTTAAATTATAATGAATTCTTTTTCAATTTCTAATTCTCATATATTTAAGAATAAAAAACTGATTCTCCCTTCTAAAAATAAGACCATTCTATTATTACACTAAGTATCTATAAAAATGTCATTAATTATTATTATATTCTAATATTAAATATATTATGATTTTATTATTAATTTCTTATGATTAGTGCTAAATTATAAATATCGGAAATACTTCTATCAGACCTTCTACTAATTCTTGCTGTTTCATTTGGTATAACATATCTCTATTTAAGAGTCTTTTGTATAACCTACTATTCAAACTCTCATCCTTGCAAGCATTATCATTTTCTTTACTTTCATTACGGCTTTCTATAAAATACAAAATTTAATACTCAAAAAGCAATAATAAAAATAACTTCACATAATATTTAACCTGAGACTTTTAACTATCGTTTTATTTTGTGCACTCTCAAATTAAGAACTAACTTTATTACTCATAAATCATTTGGATTTATAGTTCAATATTAAAATAGCTATCCTAAGTAAATTAACACTTTCAGCTATCTTATATGATTCTTCTAATCTCATTACACTACCTAAAAATTTAGTATTCTATTCTTATTTTTTTTTTGTATTTCTACAGATTGGAATACATTATAAATATACATAGAATCAACAAAATGAGTAACTACCATAAAAACTCACTTAGGATGCACCCCCAACATTTCATGCTAAATCTTAAGAAATTAAATCGTTTAGATAAGATGAGAATTCAAAATCACCTGGAATGTCATCTTCTGACATTAAACCATTATAATTGAACAGTGTTTAACAAGTGATAAATGAAGATGATATTATCATGACTAATATGTACTAATGAGTGTAAAAAGAATTAAGGTCGTGGATTTCAAATCAGTCTGTTTTAGTTTACAATGTAGAATTTACTATTGTGTATTAAACATTCTATCTTGGAAAATTATAGAAAAACATAGGTGACAAATTAGATTGCGAAGCTATGTTTTTGGAATCTACCATAATAATTGGGTGTAAAGAAATAAATGAACTCTTAGGTTAATCAGGATTTAGTGATTCAATATTTAGTGAGTAAATTTATAAAGTATAACATTTAGCGGTTCATTTTTATTAAACAATTTAAATGAAATTCATAAATGTAAAATCAAAGGTTAGTTTTCACTTAAGGATTTAACTAACTTATTAATTAAAGATTTTGAGAAGTATACAAATTTATTAATATACAATAGATGGAGATTTTTTACTCTAACAATATTCAAAGTAAAAAATGATTTCTTAGATTTTGATGGAATTCAAATAAAATTATTTGTTAATTAAATAGAAAATCACAAGTTTGTTCTATTTAGTCTTGAACATATTCCAATACCTTCAAAAATGCATAATTAAGAAACAAACCTAGTTCTATAAAACATCTATCTCACTTTTTCTCATGAATCAATTAATTATGTAAATTGTATTCTCACATATCTTCTAATACTTATTCATCATATTGATCAATAAAATAATGAAACAAATAATTAAACTATTGTATTTTTTACATTAATTTTAGAATTTTGTTACCAAGGACAAAGAAGAATATTTTATTAATTGTTTATAAAATATGAGATATTCAAGTTAAAGATACACATACTTTTTGTATTCCATGAAGGATTATATCTTTTATCTAACAAATCAATTATTTTTTAAAATGAATGCTATAAGAATGGAAGATCTTCTTGATGAATTACTCATCAATTTTGAACCTGTTTTACAACTCAAACAAATTAAATTGACAACTAGTGTAGATTTATAAGATGGTAATACAACCATATTTAGTGATGCTGATAGAGTATAATTACTTTATATTTTAGATCAAATAAATTATTACTTGTTTACTTAATTATTTTCTATAATCCTCATCTAAAAGTTCTATTAAATTAGAAATTAAGAGTTATACTTTATAAGGAGTAATGATCACTATCAAAGATACTAAATCTGATTTTGATGAGTTAACTAAACAAAGAATAATAAATTTAACTAAAATCTTAAATTAATAATTTAAAAACTAAAAAGCTGTTAATGAATTAGATTTTACTAATCCTTTAGAATTATAAATGAGTATTCTTTTATGCTGGTAATTGGCAGGTTCATTCAAAAGAGGATTAGAATTTTTAATTGATAGTTAAGGATTTTGTACATTTACATTTGTAATAGAATCTTAAACTTCTTAAATGAAATATCCAAATTCTGCAGCTGATACTGGACCAATTAAAATATTAGGCAAAAAAAAATATTTTGAAACATCTTTATCTTTATTACTTTAAGAGAATATGAATTCAAATAATCCAGGAGGTGGTGAATCTAAAGTATTATCATTCACTTAATTGTCTAAATAATTTTCATACAAACCTACTGATCCAATAGATCTATAGAGTGCTTATTTTTCTTAACTTTCTAAAATTCGATAAGAAACTTCAAATTCTAAAGCATTTCCTAATAGTGGCACAATTCATAAACAATCAAGAGAACATAGTGGAAGTTTTTCTGGAACTTTAAAATAATAGATATAATCAGATAGTATTTAATAAATAACTAGAATTCTAAATAGAAACAATTTGAGTGTTGTAGGTAAAATAGAATCTCCTCATGAATCCTAACGTACATTTACTCTTATTGATTTTGGTCAAACAGAATAAGCAGCCAATTAAGTAAGATTGCCTGAATTCCATCCAAAACTCTTAGCACATGTCATTAAATATAGATTAAGAACTAATTGTTGTTCAAAAGTACTTCTATTAGATAATGATCCATTTTCAATTATTGTCTTATAGAAAGTACTTCAGAAATACGATATCAAATGTGATTATTGTTTTAATGGTGTATAAGCTATGGAAATCATAGAAAATAAAAAAAATCAACCATGTCATTGTGGAAATCGCTTTTATTTATTATACATTATCGATCTGAATATTCCAGTATTTTAAATATTTATATTATAGATTTTATAAGGAGGAGAATTTGTTTAAAGAATTAAATAAATGATGCATATGGGTAATATGGATAAAGGTTTTGCTATTGCAACAGCAACTTTAGTTGATTTAAATAGTAAATTGGAGTGTTTTCGTAATGGTATGGATTATTTCATTACTAAACCATTTGATTTATTAGAGATTAGTGCAGCAGTGACATACCTTGATTTTTGAATAATTTTGTATCATAGGGTAAAATTAATATAATAATAATAAAAATGAGAGGACATCAAAAGAGTTCACCAAATCTAAAATTTCTATAGCCATAATTAACTGCTCGTTAATTAAAGAGAACTGACTCAATTAATTTACGAAATGATATACAAAAAACTTAGCGTACTAATCAAACAGAAAATTCAATGTCTATTGATAAAATATACTAAGTTACTCCAAATAGAGTACTCGCTCTAAAGAATACATCTCGAGTCTTAAAATAAAATTACTTTCAAAAAACAGAACCTAATGACACTTTCGAAAAATAAAATATTTCTGATAATCTTAAAATATTAAGTAGAAAACAAACAGCTCCAAAATTAATATATAGACCAATTACAAAATAAAATAGTGAACTATTCTCTATAAAAGATTCACCAAGAATAATTCAAAATTCAAGTTTTCAAGATTCTAATTCAATTTATTATATATCTGATGTTATCACTGCATATGAAAGTAAAGAGAACTATTTTAACAGACTTTTCAAGGATCATTTCTAATCAAGCTTTATGGCATTTAAATAAGGTGCCAATTCAAAAATTATATACAAACCAAAACCGGTTATAATCCCAAAAGATCCAAAAGGTTATTCTAAATATTTTAAATTAGATACTAAAAAGTATACATTGCTACTTGATTTAGATGAAACTTTAGTACATTGCACTTTAGATTTAAAATTACCTTGTGATAAAAAACTAATAATTAAACTTTCTTAAGATGAAACATTTTAAGTAGGTGTATCTGTTAGACCTTGTTTATAAATAATGTTAGAATTGCTCGAACCTAATTTTGAGATCATAGTATTCACAGCTTCTCATGGTTAATATGCAAAAAGAGTATATTTATTCATTAATTTAGATTGTTGAATATATCGATCCAAAAAAAATAATATCTCGAGTTTTATCTAGAGAGCATTGTTGTTTTTCTGACCAAGGTTAATATGTTAAAGATTTATCTATCATTAAGAATCGCCCACTTTCTAAGACTATTTTAGTTGATAACTCTGCTATAAGTTATTACTACTAACTTGATAATGGTGTTCCAATTGTTCCATTTTATGATAATAAACTTGATAAACAATTACTTGCTTTAGCTAAATATCTTAATGGAATGGTTGGTATAGAAGATATTCGCGAATATAATTAGTATTATTTCATTTCTATATAGGAAAAACCTAAAAACCTTTTTGCTTGCTAAGTTATAAACTTGGGAATAAGTTTTAGAAATGTATAAAGTACATCTTAACTCCAGAAAAAACTGAAATTGTAATATATGACACTATTTAGTAATTTTTGTTTTTATTTGTGTGTTCATATATTTATAAGTCAATTTCTAAAATTTCAATAAAATCATTGATTATAAAATTTTATATAAATAATATTATACAATAAATTTATTTTTTTTATTTATTAAATAAAATTTCAAGAGAGTGCATTATTGACATAGTCTTATAAAATCCTAAACCAATATACATATTTTAAAAATAATTAAACAAATATATAAAATCCACTATTATAATTCTAATTATTTTAATTATTGTAATTATTGGAAAATATCTTTTAAAAGTTGAAAAATATATATACAATAATTTAAAAATTCATTATCCAGAATGACAAAAGTTCATCATTTTTAATTGCGGACTAAGTAAAATAGTGATAATTTTGATTATATATTTTGCTTGCGTTTTTCTATCAATTTAAATGGCCATGATTTCAACAATTTTAAGTTTGAAGCTCATTTTTAAGAATTAGAAATTCTGATTTAAAGCAATAATTTTTCTTCAAATGAATTCATGTCCATCAATCAAATATTATTCTAACATTCTTTAAATACACAGTTTGGGCTTCTGGATGAAAATTTTCTTATTTTTAGAGTCTGGGGTTGAATGACTGATTTTGAAAGATAAATTTTGGATAGTTGAATTGCAAATTATAGAAAGTTCAAATGTTTGAGTTGATAATATAAAAATAAAAAGAAATCACTGTTTTTTAATTTCAATTTATTAGGTCTAAACATTATTGTAAGTTTAGGTTTGAGGATTAGAGGTTTTATTATTACTATCCTAACAAATAATTTAACAAAAGGATTGTTATTGATAATTGTTTTTGTCGAGTTTTTATCGTTCTTCATTATATTTCTTTAATTTGTCAAAGTCTATGAAGATAAATTGCTATGCTCCACTTCGTTTCAGATTTGATGCATTCTTTTAAGACTGACAAATACCCATTTGATTTATTAATATATTAATTGTTATTAATTGATATCAGATATTTAGACAAACCTAAAATATTTTGTTACTACTAAACTTCTTATGAAGGATTTAACAAGAATTAAATGATTCTAAGAAAGTCATAAATTAAGTATAGATGAAACTGAATTCTAAGTAATATTAAACCATAATTAGCTTAACTTATGGATGTTAAACAATTAATATAATTCTTATTTTTTAATTATTAATAATACAAGGTTACATAATATTTTTTTATTAAAATTATTTTTTTTGGAAATATGGAGGATAAAGAATTTGTATTAAAATAACTTATGATTATTTAGAGTTAAGAGATTGCTAGGAAATTCTAGATATTTTTTGCACATATGGAATAATTTTGTTAATAATTTTTGAAGGGATAAAATGCGGCTGAATTTAGAAATGATAAAAGTGAAAAGAAAAAAGAACGAGATCCTAATGCACCAAAGAGACCTCTTACTGCTTTTTTCTTATTTAACTAAAAATATCGTGAAAAGGTTTTGGAAAGAAATCCAGGTATTGATTAGAATGATTTTATTTAGAAGTTAAACTTATATAAATTTCATAAATGGCTGGATAAAAATGGAATTCAATGAGTGAAGAGGAGAAATAAGTAAAAATTATATATACTGTTTAAGCCATATATTGATTAATATAATGAAGCAAAAAATAAATATGAAGAAGAGATTAAAGATTATAATGAAAAACAAAGTATTACAAATAATGATAAAAAGAGAAAGAAATAAGAAAAAGTATTTATTATTGATTTAATATTAGTTTGATGATAAATCTGTGAAATCAGGATAAGATTATCATTCAGATGATATTGATTCTGAATCAATATAACCAGCTATTAAACATCAACAATAGCTAAAATAATAATAATAATAACAAACAGAAAAGAAAAAAGTTATACAAACTGTAGTTTCTGATGATGATGATGACCAAATATAATAAGGCATCTAGTCTAAACCATAATAATCAAAATTAAAAGCTACTAAACCTAAAAATAAATAAAACATGGATGATGATCTATAAAGGGAGATAATCCAAGTAATTAATAACGACAAATCATAGAAAAAATCAACAAAAAAATGAAATTATAACATTAAATAAATTCTATATTTAAGAATTATTTATCTTTAAAATATTCAAGTTAATTTGGATTATTTATTTTGATGTATCTTAATTAAAAAATTTTAATTTTTTAGCAATTCATTCTAATAAATGTTAACCACTTAAATTTTGGATTCGTTGAATCAGATAATGTCTACCTTCTTGATTAATGTTCCTAAATTAATTTCAATTTATATAATGAATCACAATATCTTAAAGTATTTATTATAATTCTAAATACAAAAAACTCATTAATTCATTTAATAGATTTATTATTTAAATAATCTACCATAAAAATATGAATTCTATCTTTATTTGAAATTTTAACTAAAATTGAATCTTTAATTAATTAAATACATATATTATTGATAAATATCTCATTTATTATTATAGGTTTTGTACTATAAGGATATTAATATTTATATAAATAAAATATTTATCATGATGCCTTATTTACCTTACTTTCATTTAGAAAGATTTTGTAAGCAATTAAAAGAGGTTTCTTTTCTTCAGGGTCTTCCAAAATTTTTTAGTTCAAGACTTCCAAAATTTTCTGCCATTATTCCTTATAATGTTCATCAATTTAAGCATTCTACAATCTCTAATTGAAATGAACGTAATCTTTTGACCATTAATCTCTAAGTTATCCAAATTTGATTTAACAATCGCTATTATCTAAATATAATGAATTAATTTTAACTTTTAATTTATAAAAATTTATTTTATGCTTGATCACTAAATAAATTGTATTCCATGCATAAAATGGAAAATCTTTCAAAAGATAATGCTCTTTCCTCGTCAGTTAGTATATCTGCATTATCTTCAAATATATCTATCCATTTATCCTCATCATACTTATCAGGTTCTATATATTTATTTAAAATTAAAAATTCTTCCAAATTACACATTCCATTTCCATCTAAATCACTTGCTGCAAAGGCATTAATAACATATAGTTTAGTTTTTTCAACAGTATTTCTAAATACTTGTAATACTTTTATCATCATTAAATCAAAATCTATAATACCTTACTTATTAACATTTTTTGGATCATTTTCCTTCAATTATTCTATATCATGCTTTAATTAAATTAATTCATCATTTTATGGACTGAACATTAATTAACCAATATATGACAAAGCTCTTACAAAAGGTACATACATCTTCATCTCAGATTCATTATCTTTCAGACTTTATCCTAAATTCTATTAACTATTCATAAAATCCCAAGCCTCCAAATATTTCTATTATTCTTCTACTGTATAATTTACATTCTGTTCCAAAAGACCCATAAATTTAGCAAATATATTTATTCTTACTATCTTTATATTCTTTTTAACTGATAATACTAAAACTTAAAATTTTTATTCTGTTACTTTGGTAAATCCAAATTATTATAAATAATAATTATATATATATGAACCCATATCCTAATCTTTCACTTATTTTTACTCCTTCTAATTCTATAATTTTTCATTATACAAAGTTGTTATATATTTTAATACTAATTTAACTGGCATATAATTGTTAAACTTTTACATCTATTTATTTTTTAATTTTTCTATAATATTTTTTGATTGATCTTTTTAAAAATCATAAGAAATTACAACTTTTTAACCTAATTATGGGGCCTTTCTCTATTTTTTTGTATCTTTAAAAGTTCCTTACTTTACTAAAACAGATAATCGTTTTTGACCATTAATAACAACTGATTCTTATGATTAATGTACATCATCTTCTTATTATTTAAATTCTGATAAGCTTTGAGATTATTGAGATAATTGAGATAATTAAATTTTTGTATTTAATTGTGCTAATTAAATTTACAAACGTTCATTTTCTTTTTATAATTCATCTATTTGTTAATTTGAATTCAATGCATTTTATTCAAATTAAAAGATCTAATCACTAAATTAATGTAAATCCTATTCTTACTATTATAGTCGAGCCTTCAAAAATGAAATAAAAGTTAAAACTTACTTTGATTTAGAGTCCTTCTTTAAAAGTAATTAATTATTTATAATATTTGAATCACATCTAGTTAAAATAGGTATTTATTATTATTATTATTATTATTATTATTATTATTATTATTATTATTATTATTATTATTATTATTAGATATTTTATCCATTTTATGAAAATCCTGATTTTATCATTGAATATTAAGATTTATTCATTTCCATTCCTTTACGATTTTAAACAATTTCCAATTAATCATATGTATCATCAATTATTTACTCTATCAGACTATCTTCTGATCCTTTTCTACCCACTTTTTCAATAAATTCTGTATATTTAACTGCATTATTTATATTAGATTACTAAATTATATCAAATTAAGAATCAATTAAAGTTAAATCTGTTTAAATTTCAATTTCCTTTGTATAATATTAAAGTAAATCAAATTCTATCTATTGTTCTTTTTAGGCCTGTTTTATTATTCTTTCAAAATTAATTTCTAATTAATTTAATTGTTCCTCTTCTTATTATAAAATTTCATCTTAAGAATTACTTAATGGACTATAGTTTTTGTCTTCAGGATCTTATATTTTTGGAGAATTAGTCTAAATAGTTTATTGTCGAGTAAATTGTAAAGTCTATTGACGATTTAATTAAGAAGTTTACTATCGATTAAATTATTTAATTGATTCACATTTAAATTAATTTGTTGGTTATCGATTTAATTAATTATTTGATTATCTATTTGATTAATTATTCTATATTAGATTTAATTAAGATATTGTTTCATAACTTTAATGTAATTTATTCTCATAAAATTAGATCTTTTATCTTAATATTTAAATCTCTGATTCTTGCTATTTTATTATTTTATCATTTTTATTAATTATTTTGTTTCTTTATTCTACTTTTTATATTAATGCACTATTCTTACTAATCATATCTGTAATATCTTTCTCCAATTTTTAATTATTTTCCTTTATTTCATTTATTTTACTATCTTTTGAACTTATAAACTATTCTAACTATTTTATCTTTTCTTAAAATTACTATTTTTATAAAGAAATTGTCTCCAAATTCATTTTTTCTTATTGTTTTTTTTAAATTACTAATTAAGTTTATTATTCCGCCAGATTAAATTACATTTCTTTAACAAATGAACTAAATAAGAAAGATAATTCTCTAAATTCTTCAAATAAAAGATCTTTTAAAAAACTTTCCATTTTTTATAAAAATTCATTTCTATTTTCATTATTTATGCATTATGTGAAATTTCTTTCAATTTCTAAAATTTGATGTCTTTTAGATACATTATCCTAAGAATTAAGAAGTTTTTAGAATATAGTTTAATTATATTTATTAGACTTTGGACTTTAGAATTTAATAAACTCACATTGTTATTAAGCTTATAAAATTGATTTTAAAGCATTTGAATTAGATTTATTACGTCTCTCTAAAAATTATGTTGTTTCTATAAAATTTGATATATCTTCTTACATAATCTTTGCTTAGATTATTCAACAAATTATTTTATGATTTAGTCTTTAGGTGTTTTATCTGATTCAGAAACAGAAGTCTTTAATATTTAATCTGATCGATATGAGTTATCTGTTACCTTTTTATTTAAGTTAAAGAAAATTAAATGTCTATTTGTCATTTTATTTTAATTAATTATTATTATTATATATCTAATAAACAAAGCAATTTTTAATGTTTGAATAATCACTAATTGAATTTCATGTTTTTTCATTATTTTATTTTGTATTCTATTCTTACTGACCTAATATAAATTGTTTAAAAATTTAGTACAAACATCAAAAATATACTCATAAACATTAGAATTTAAAAATTATATTCATTATTTAATTATTTTATATGCTTGATATTTATGAACTTATAATAAAATTAATTTTTTAAAACAAGAATATACAATCCATCCACTTTTATGATTCTCTCATTTTTTTATTGGAATAAAATGGAGTAAAATAGAAAGAAAAATACTTCCCAAGAAAAAAAAGTCATTCCATCTTTTAGTAGTCCATCTACGATCTAATAATATGAACCTAGAACACAAATAAGGAGATAAATAATAGAAGATGAATAATAAAGATAATAAAAGAAACGATAAACAGAAAGGTTTTAACCTAAAGCAACATCAGAAGATGAGGATCTTCAATTAAATTATCTATAAATCGGAAATTAAGCAAAAAAAAGATAAAAAAGCTAAACTCAAAGATTCTGGAAATATGATTAAAGAAAACAGAAAAGAAATCATTCAGAATAAAGATTTGCAGCGAATAATTCTAATTAAGGTGTCAATACTGAAAAATATAATGAATTTGATGATCTCGATTAAATTTCAGATGATAAAGCTGATTTATGTATCAGAAATCTTCCATAAAATAGATTAATGAAAAAATTGACAATATGATTATAAATAATCAAACAAGAGAACTAATTAATGATCTTTGTTTTATTTCACTCTAAATTTTATTAAAAGCTACAAATAAATTAAAAAATTCTTTTTTTCCATAAATTTAAAAAAATTGCCATTCAAAATAATTTATTATATTTCATTGAAATCATCTTATATTCACCATTAAATATTTCTTAAATTTATAAATACTTCAAGTATTTAAAAAATAAATAAATATACAATCATTCTATTCCAATCTTCTATTTTCAGACAAATATTCATTATGTATATATATTTTTAAGATCAAATATCTGTATTTTATAGATTTTTTAAATAATCTTAAAAATTTTAAGAATAAAATTAATTTTAATCCAAACTTTAAATTGACTCTAGAATCATACTATTGAAAGTTTTCTTTTATGAGATTTTACCTATGCTTCTATTATAAAACATACGTAAATTCTTATTATATTAATAAAAGATTTGATTAAAATATTATTAGTTATTTCTTTAGAAAATAGCATATCTATATGTATAAGATAATAAGTTAAGAAAAAGTAAAGAATTAATAATTAATTTTAGGAATTTGGATAGGTAAGTCAAGTGAAATTTTATAATAATTGAATTTAGGAATTTGTGNATTTTTTTATTGGAATAAAATGGAGTAAAATAGAAAGAAAAATACTTCCCAAGAAAAAAAAGTCATTCCATCTTTTAGTAGTCCATCTACGATCTAATAATATGAACCTAGAACACAAATAAGGAGATAAATAATAGAAGATGAATAATAAAGATAATAAAAGAAACGATAAACAGAAAGGTTTTAACCTAAAGCAACATCAGAAGATGAGGATCTTCAATTAAATTATCTATAAATCGGAAATTAAGCAAAAAAAAGATAAAAAAGCTAAACTCAAAGATTCTGGAAATATGATTAAAGAAAACAGAAAAGAAATCATTCAGAATAAAGATTTGCAGCGAATAATTCTAATTAAGGTGTCAATACTGAAAAATATAATGAATTTGATGATCTCGATTAAATTTCAGATGATAAAGCTGATTTATGTATCAGAAATCTTCCATAAAATAGATTAATGAAAAAATTGACAATATGATTATAAATAATCAAACAAGAGAACTAATTAATGATCTTTGTTTTATTTCACTCTAAATTTTATTAAAAGCTACAAATAAATTAAAAAATTCTTTTTTTCCATAAATTTAAAAAAATTGCCATTCAAAATAATTTATTATATTTCATTGAAATCATCTTATATTCACCATTAAATATTTCTTAAATTTATAAATACTTCAAGTATTTAAAAAATAAATAAATATACAATCATTCTATTCCAATCTTCTATTTTCAGACAAATATTCATTATGTATATATATTTTTAAGATCAAATATCTGTATTTTATAGATTTTTTAAATAATCTTAAAAATTTTAAGAATAAAATTAATTTTAATCCAAACTTTAAATTGACTCTAGAATCATACTATTGAAAGTTTTCTTTTATGAGATTTTACCTATGCTTCTATTATAAAACATACGTAAATTCTTATTATATTAATAAAAGATTTGATTAAAATATTATTAGTTATTTCTTTAGAAAATAGCATATCTATATGTATAAGATAATAAGTTAAGAAAAAGTAAAGAATTAATAATTAATTTTAGGAATTTGGATAGGTAAGTCAAGTGAAATTTTATAATAATTGAATTTAGGAATTTGTGGATTAGAATAAATTATAAATAGTGAGCATATTAAATAAAGATAAGATCTGATAAGAAATTAAATTAAATATTTAATTAAATATTAAAATCAAGATTTAAATCTATGGAAACTAGTTTCTTTTTTAATGAATTTAGCATATCTAGGAGAGAGCAAGATTGTATTGCAAGTAGGAACATTTTATTCGGTAGAGGGTTCAGTTTTTAAATATTTAGTATATCCGAAATTTAAACAATATTCTTCATTTTTTTAATCTAAGATCCTTTGTTTTAATGAATTTGCAAATAATTTCATTGAGAAATTTTAATTAGTATTTAATTAAGGTTTATTTTATATGTTATTAGTAACAGCATTATAATATTTAAGATTATTTTTATCTTTATAATCAATAGTGAATTATAATTTTCTTTAAGGAGATTATTTAGGAGCAACTGGTAATATTTCATCAACATTTTGAAATACTTTATATCTATCACTTGATATTTTAATATTTGAAGGATCTTTGAATCCATTTAAAATAGTAACATTTGATTATGTTCTAACAGTTCTATTGGTAATTTTAATTTTGGGAATACTTTAATTCTATTTGTATTAATATTTTTCATTTAAATAATTTTCATACCAATTCAGACCTAATGTATGTTTGATAATTTCATTAAATTAAGTCTACCAAATTCTAAAGATTTTAGTTTCATTTTACACAATTCCTTAAGTACATCTTAATAATGTATTTTAGTATTTTAATTATAAAAATTATTCAAAATCTCCAATCATTTATCCTCTACCAAAAACTCCTAAATTAACTAAAGTTTTAGTTGATTTATTTATAATATTATTATCTAGAATATTTGATTCATCAATTTGATCTTAATATTTATTAATTTCCCATTTTTATACTAAAACTTCTCCTGAGATAATTAAATATAGACAATCAGCTTTTTGCATTCTTTTAAATAATACAGCTCCTCCATTTAAATTAATTTCTTCATAATCATGTAATAATTATTATAACGAGGTTTCATTTAATTAATCAAAAGGATATATTTAAGCAATAAGTTCTGATCTTATAGTAATAGCTTCTTAATTAATATCTCTTAAAAGTTTTTAATAAGATTCATAAGTTAAGACAGCTAAAATAGATTTTTCTTTAGCAATAACTGTAGCTGTTCTAGGTATACGTTATTCTATAGCTATTTCTCCAAAATAATCAAACTACTTTTTAATAGCCACTTATCTAAAATTTGGATAACGAATAGCTAATACATCTTCAAATTTTTTCAATTTACTTCCAAATGTATGATTACATTTATTTTGAGAGTTGTAATTGTCAATATGATCCTAATTCTTAACAATGATTGATATTTCACCTTCTAAAATAAAATACATTTTTCGTCCAGTTTCTCCTTAATTAAAGACTACCTCATATTATTTGAATCTCTCAATAAATAATGACTTTATTAATTTAATGAGTATGTCCTCTCTCAATTAAGATTTCAATTTTCTATCATGATGTCTATCTATTACTTAAAATATATAAATGATCTTTCTAATCTTCTTGCTACATAATTCAATTACATTAAAGTTCTCTCTTATGATTCCATACTTAATATATGTGTTAATTTAAAGATCTCACTCTCAATCCTTTATTAATTTTCATCTTCTATAGATTATTTACTTTATGTACTATCTCTTCTTAACATTAATTTAATTAAGAATGTCAAATATTTAAAATACATAGAATCCAAAAGCATTAAATAATTTGTTAAACTCGAAACACTCTCTCATAAGATTATAAAAAATACTATCTAATGATAATCACCTTAGAAAATAATAACATTTCAAACCTTTAAGAACTGAAAAATCAAGCACCTTATCTATTATTAAAAGTGATAGTTTAATAACAACTCATGACAATAAAAACTTTTTTAAAACATCAACAAGCTTAAATAAATTGAATAAAATTGTTAATATTCAAAAGAAAGCAAATGATCAAACTCATTAATAAATTATTAAACATCTTCTAACAGATTAATCCTATTCTAAACTCAATAAAATTAGTTAACAAGGAGATCATGTTAGAACTCTTTAAACACTTAAACCACAACTTTAAAACTTTACAGATTAAAAACTATAAATCAAAGATCTTCGTAATAAAATTAAACTTAAATTACAAGAAAGAGATTAAGAATATTTATTTAAGAATGCTTAACAAATTAGTAATTTATAACTTAAGTTATCCAATCTATAAGCTTCTTAATTATTTAAAAATTTTCTTGTATAAAATGGATATAGATAACCTGCTTTCTTAAAAGACATTTAATGATTATACTAATAAGAATATAATAAATTTAAATCCATTTTATTATATCCATCCCATTTATTGCATTTCATATCAATCAATTATTTCAACATAAAATAACTATAGATTCATTTTCATTATCAGTAATGTAATTTTCTCCTCAACTTTTTTAAATTTCTCTTATAAAACTCAATAAACATTAAATTAAGAATTTTTTGATATCTATACAAATTAATCACCAACATATTTTTAATTATACAGTAATTATAAATTTATTTAAAAATATAAAATATCCAATTAAAAAAACATAAATTTGCACACTTCCTAAATATGAAAAACAAATAAGTTTCATTTCTATGTTTAAACATTAACATCATCAATTAGATTTGAATGAACTTAACTTAATTGAAGGCTATAAAAGTATTGATAAATCACAAGAAATTTGTTATTTAAATATCTAAGTAATATTTTAGAAAGTTGAAGCTTTAAAATCTTAGGACATATGAAAAGTATATGAAAGATGGATTAAATTAGATTCTGATGAAAAATTAAAATATAATTTTAGAAAAGGGTTATTTTATTTTATAATAGTATGTGAAACTCAATCTTTAAACGAAGTTGATTATTTCAAAATACTAAGAATGATTGAAGTGAAGAATAACTTAGATATCATTATTATACATAAAATTAAAAAACATTTACTGTTTAAGTAATTATTATTAAGAATAAGTCTACTGTAATTAAACTTAATTATAATTCTTAATTAATTTATATCATCAACATAAAAAATATAAAAATAAATTAAACAAAATTCATTGATGTCTCATTAATTTGTTAAAAATTAGTTAGAACAAATATAAAAATAAAATGCTAAGAAATTAAAGAAATTTTAATTGTTGGATTTTTATGAAATCCAATCTTAAAATGATAAAATTAATCATAATCTAAAATTATGAAAATTGATTAAAATCAAGAATTAAATAATCCTATTAAAAACTAAATAAGAATGGGTAAAATCCTGATTTTTTATAGAATAATAAGATAATAAATGAAAAATTAAACAAAATAAATATGAAATTTAATTAAATTGTAATAAAGGTACTACTTGATTAAAATTCACAATAAAGTTGATGAATTGATTAAATAGTTTCCAAACTTTAAATGAAATTTAATGAGATAAAATTTGAAATGATAATATATTGTTCATTAATATTTACAGGATTATAATACTCAAGTCTAAATGATCAAGACCATTTTTATCAAAAATGATATATGGAGTCCTTAATTTGAAATTTTTGAAGTAATTACAGCACAATAATTGACAGTTGAAAAAATCTAGATTATCAATTAAGATTTGATTATGGGATTTTCAAAATCTGAACAACATATGAAAATTTGGAGTGTTTCAAAGAGATAAGCTGTTTTTGAGCATTTTTTTAATAAAAAAAAAGTGAACGAATTGTTGATTATATAAAATTTAAATGATTTGGTAGCTTATTGTTTTTCAGATAAATAGGTTTAAGTTTGGAGATTAGAATTTAAAAATAGATTCTGTTTATAGTATGAATTAAGTTATGAGTAATAGATAAAGAAGATTAAAATATCATATAAACCTTTTTTACTTGGCACATTACATAATGATTAATAAATTAGATAATTAAAAAAAGATTAGTTAGAATTAAATTTTGTATAATAATCATTACAGATTGAAGATTACAGTTTTTTTTAAAATTAAAATTTTCTAGCTATTATGTCTAAGAAAGGATTTGTGTATATATTTTCAATTAAATCTAAAAAATACGTTAAATAATGGAATGCTCATTAGTAAGGTTAGTGTTCTATTGATGGTATTGATAAGGATTAATTAATTATTACTTAAGCAAAGGATTGCTCCATTAAAATTTGGCATATGGGAAGTTATCACTTATTAAGGGTTATAGATTCTAGAAAAATGTCAATATGTTAATATGATATATCAAGTTATACTTTATTGATGTCAACATTTAAGCCATCATTAGATATAATTAGTTTAAAAACTGGTAAATTGATTTAAAGTCTAGAAATTGATTATCCAATATTGAAAATAGAAATAGAATTTGAAAGTCAATTAATTGCAATACTAGACTATGAATTTCAGATTATTTTATTAAGAAAAAAATAATATTGAATATATCTTATTATTTTATATTAATATTTCAAAACAATCTTCATAATTAATGTATAAATATAAAAAGGATAAATTTTTAACATATTCATGATTTTTACATATAAAATTACATATTGTTTATATTTATTTGAATGCTTTAGCTAAAATTCAAGAAATAAAAACAAAAATAAAATAAGACTGAAAACTTACTAACAATCTCATAAAATTTAGAAAAAGATCATAAAATTGAAAACTCAGACTTTAAAGATCCTACAGATTTTATGATAAATTTAGATATGCATTATTCAAATAAAGAACTATTTTAATCAAAAAATAATCAATTTAGAAGAACCAATTAACAAAAAACTTATGAAAATAAAACAAAAATAAAAAAAAAACCAATCAAAATGAACTTTTAAAAATTAGTAGAAAAAGATAGAATAATTTATGTTGATGATGATGAAGAAAAACATAAATTTGATAAAAATAAAAAGATAATAGACCTCAACAAAATGTCAAATATATAAAATTAAAAATTTTAATTATAATTAAAAATCATTTAATCAACAATTTTTAGATTGTTCAAATTAAGATGAAGGTTCTTCAGATTAAAAAAATAAATTCATATAGAATAAATCACTATTGTATGCTGAAATTGGAACATAAACTGATGAAACATGTGATATCAGTATATAAGATTTTCTAAATTTAATGGCTTAAGAATAATAAATAGCGAATACTCTCAATTAACTTCATGAAAAAATATTAAAATTATTAAAGAGTCAAATATGAATTATTTATTTCATAATGCATTATAAGATTTTAATATTAATTATTTTCTGATGCAAATTTTCACTTGAGAAAAGTATTTTAAATAGAATTAGCCCATTCTTTTTCTCTTATTATTTTTCAATAACCAAACTAATAGATTCATGAGAATTAAAATGGATTTTATGGTAATATTCAGTTTATTTATACAAGAAACTTATTATGTGATTTTTAAATAAATAATAATTTAATATACTTTTTCAGTTATTATTAATATTACTCTATAATTTTATTTTATTTTTATTCTTACTGTTATCGCTTTTTGAGAATTTTTTTCTTTGTAATACTCCTATTATTTTTATTTCTTGACTATTTCATATATACTCCTTGTTCCTTATATCCAATTGTTATCTACAATCTTGAAAATAAATTAAATTTATCAAATTTTAACACTAAAATTAAAAACAATATTAATTAAAAAAATAGATAATTGATAATATTAGTATTTTATAAATATTTATAATCAATGAATATTGAGCTAAAGAATTTGAATTATTAAGAATATAATTGAATAATAAGAAGCAAAAAAAGAAAGTTAAAAGGATATAGAAATTAAATCTTTTATAATACTATTTTTTATTATAATTTTCAGACAGGTGTGTATAGAAACTTATTATTAATTCTGTCATCCCTCTTGATATAATTTGCGTTGATTAATTCATCAATTTAAGCTAAAATATCATGTGAAGAAAAATCGTAATATCCTAATAATCCTCTTTAAACTCCACCATATATTTATGGATAAAGCATTTCTTTGTTTGTTTTCATCAATCTTACAATACTTGATTAAATTTTAAGATCTCTTTCTTTTTTTAACACTATTTAATCTTCTGAGTTTTCTCCAATTCTTTTAGGTAATAAAGTTAATGGTCTATTAGGAACAATTTAAACTTTTAATTTAGATTACTCAGTTTGAAGAAAGAATTTTCCTTGATTCTCTACAATTATTCTAGAATCCAATAGATTCTCCATTTGTTAAGTTAACTCTTCTTCATAATTAATACCTGTGTCATTTAATAATTCAGGTTTTGTTCTTCCTCCATGTTACTTTAAGTAAATAATAATAAAGAGTTATAAATTTGATACAATAATCTTTCCTACTTATTATGCTGATGGCCCAAATCTAAATTAAAAATTTATTTTATAATTACTTATAATTTATTGTCGACTATCCTATTTTATAATTCCAAACTAATGATTTTTTTTCAGTTTATTATTTTGTTTAATAAAATCTTTCCATTTAATTAATTGCTTATTCAATCATTAGAGGAGGTTTTACTTAATCTCTTCTATTTTGATTACTAAATTCTTTTAAAGAATTTGTTCTTGTAAAAATAGTGAATTGTATATTTGTTCCTATCAATATTTTCTAATTATGCAANTCCAATTGTTATCTACAATCTTGAAAATAAATTAAATTTATCAAATTTTAACACTAAAATTAAAAACAATATTAATTAAAAAAATAGATAATTGATAATATTAGTATTTTATAAATATTTATAATCAATGAATATTGAGCTAAAGAATTTGAATTATTAAGAATATAATTGAATAATAAGAAGCAAAAAAAGAAAGTTAAAAGGATATAGAAATTAAATCTTTTATAATACTATTTTTTATTATAATTTTCAGACAGGTGTGTATAGAAACTTATTATTAATTCTGTCATCCCTCTTGATATAATTTGCGTTGATTAATTCATCAATTTAAGCTAAAATATCATGTGAAGAAAAATCGTAATATCCTAATAATCCTCTTTAAACTCCACCATATATTTATGGATAAAGCATTTCTTTGTTTGTTTTCATCAATCTTACAATACTTGATTAAATTTTAAGATCTCTTTCTTTTTTTAACACTATTTAATCTTCTGAGTTTTCTCCAATTCTTTTAGGTAATAAAGTTAATGGTCTATTAGGAACAATTTAAACTTTTAATTTAGATTACTCAGTTTGAAGAAAGAATTTTCCTTGATTCTCTACAATTATTCTAGAATCCAATAGATTCTCCATTTGTTAAGTTAACTCTTCTTCATAATTAATACCTGTGTCATTTAATAATTCAGGTTTTGTTCTTCCTCCATGTTACTTTAAGTAAATAATAATAAAGAGTTATAAATTTGATACAATAATCTTTCCTACTTATTATGCTGATGGCCCAAATCTAAATTAAAAATTTATTTTATAATTACTTATAATTTATTGTCGACTATCCTATTTTATAATTCCAAACTAATGATTTTTTTTCAGTTTATTATTTTGTTTAATAAAATCTTTCCATTTAATTAATTGCTTATTCAATCATTAGAGGAGGTTTTACTTAATCTCTTCTATTTTGATTACTAAATTCTTTTAAAGAATTTGTTCTTGTAAAAATAGTGAATTGTATATTTGTTCCTATCAATATTTTCTAATTATGCAAATTAGTTTATATTTCATTATCTAAATTTCTATAATATTTAAAATCTTTCCAAACTGTTAATAAATCTGATGGTAAATGTTCAGGATGTTCTCTTCTTAAAGATTTTAAAAATTCTTCCTCATATCCTTAATTCTTTATTTCTCCTCTAAAAATTCTACTCTTAAGATTATCAGTAATTTTTAAAAATAATCTGCCTCTACTATTTATTAATTGAATAAAGGATAAAATGTTTTTATTAAATTTTTCAAATTTTAATCTATCATCTTCATTACTTGTTTCTTTTAATTTATCTTTAAGAGATAAATGAATATAAATTGACAATTTATCCATAAATCTATCAGCCTAATTTAATTTTTCTTTAAATGCTAATTCCATATTATTTCTAAAACGATGTGAACCTTCAAAACAAATTTAAACTAATCTAATACAATATTCATAAAAATTTTATAGATTTTCAATTTAAGTTAAATGTATTTATAAATTTCTATTTGCCAATTATTATTAAGTTAATCTTGGTTGTTAAGGATTTTATTATTATACTTAATTATTTTCTTCAGATTCTGTAAGTATTTATTATATTTAATTTTTCACAAAGCTTTAAAATTCGAATAATAATTTTTCAATATAATTTGATGCATTTTTATATAGTTAATAAATTTTTGAGATTGGTGATAAATTATCACTATTTTTTAATGAAACCATTTATTGATACATTCCATCTTGAGGGTTTGATACAATTTAATCAACTTTTTATTCAAGTAATTCATTTATAAATGTTTTAGTAATTTCATTTTATTTTGTAAACTTTGAATAAAATTATTCTTTTAATGTGTCTTCAATTTCTATTTAACTTGTAGCTTTTTAAACATATTCAGTGCTTGAACCAGTTTGAATCCATTCTTGAGATAATTCTGAATAAAATTTTTTAGTTCCTTCTTAAACTGAATCAAATAAAAGCGAATCATAAGTGGATTCAGGATATTTAAGATTAGCCATTCTTTATATTCTTTATCTAACACTTATTAATACTTCTTTATCATTACTTGTTATTTCTAATCTTGAAATTTAAGCTAAACTATTTAAATCTAATATCTTTAAATAATAATAAAAATTTATACTTTAGCAAAGATTGTTAATTATTATTTCTAATTTTAATTATTTGTTTTTCTTATTTAATTTAATACATCAATAAATGATTATTTAAATCTTTATTTAATAATGTCATGAGACAATACAAGTTTATCAAAATGATAAAGACCTAATTCCACAATGAAAAGCTCAGTAGTACCAATTAATTATTCATAATTATGAAAAAAGATGGTAAAATACCTTAACAAACTTTTTAATAAAACCCATTCATGTATGAAGGATTCTATAAAATTTTAAGAATTCAATAATGCTGGAATCGTTAACTTCTATAAATAGGAAAATAGCCAATTCTCAAATATGATTTTTAATTAAATGACTGTGTCCTATTTAAATTCAAAGGTCCAACTTAAATTGATAATAAACTAAATGATACTTATATAAAGTCATATATTTAGATCTTGATGTTGATGTTGAGACAACTTCAAGTGAACGCAATTATTTACAAACCTCGTTTGTGTATTGCTCTAGAATCTCTTTATTGTTATTTAAAATGTTTTACTAATTCATATTTATTTTATTAAATTTCTATTAATTTTTTTCCCCACTTAAATACACAATATTTATATCCTTTATAGTAATTATGAGACAGATTTATATTAAGTATATTTTATATAATAATAAAGAATAAATAAATGCTCGGCTTTCGATAATTATCATCTAAATACACTCATTCAGTCAAAAAACTCATTATCAACAGCTTCAATCTATTTGGAGTTTAACCAAAATTAACTATCACTAAATCTAAATCAGTAAACACATTTTTGGGATCAATATTTACAATTTTATTATTGGTCACAATAATTACATTACTTTTATATGATTTAAATGAATTCACATTAAGAGAATAACCAAAAGTTATTACATCTGAAAATGAACTAGATATAAATAGAGTATCCTCAATTTAATATCTTATTAAGGAATACCCTCTCGATTAATCTAATTTTACATTAGCCTTGGCTATCTATAACAAAGATTTTATGCCTATAGAGCAAATGGAGAGATATTTTACATTATCTATTTAATTCTGTAAAAAAACAAAAAATACTAATCAAAATATTACTTAAAAAAAGTAAACATTTATTAAAGATTAGATAGTTGTACTAATATTGAAACAGTCCCATGTCAATAAAATCATTTTTAGGATACAGACTTTTAAAAATACTTTATTGGAACTAATCTTAGTAATCACATGTGTATAAAGAATAATTAGTTTAATATTCATAAACCAGTAAATTTTAAATTCTATACATTTATAGAGTTTTTAAGGATTAAAATAATCAGATACTTACCATTATTTTACAATTAAATTATCTATTTGTAGAAATAATACAGAACATCAAGATTGTTTTTCGGAAGAGAATATTAAAATTTAACTCTTTCAAACTTATTACACTTACTATCTTACTGATAATTTAATTCAATTAGATAATTCATAAAATTTAACCTAATCAATATTAAGAACACAAAATCTATAAATTTTTAAGAATTATTAAAGATAAATTAAATAATAATATATGGTATTTGAGAATGTAGTAGATAAAGCATTTATTTATACATAAAAAGAATATCATTATTATTTATAATTATAAGAGCAGAAGGAATTACTCATTTTTGATCCTTCTGATATCTTAATACATTAGGAAATAGATCTCAATTTTAAATAAACAAAACTTGTTATCTCTTATTTGAAAGTCTCAACATTCTTGAGTAAATTTGGAGGTTATATCTTTATTATTTATATCTTCTTTAATATTTTATTATTGCCAATCAATAGATTATTTTATCTGATTGAATTAACTAATAAAGTCTTTCGTTTGAAAGTACTTCAGAATGATTTTAATATCTGTTAACAAGAAAATGATTAAATAATATAAAAATCAGCCTATTTTTAAAATATAGAAAGTCCTAATTCTTATTGTTTGGCAAATATCAACGAAACTCACTTACTTGAAAATTCTAGAATTTTTACTTACTTATTAAATCTAAAAAATAGTATAAATCTAACTTGGGGTTAAATATTAACAATTTTACTTGGATGTAGTAAAGATAAAAAAAATTAATTGAAATAAGCAGAAATAAGATTAAATAAGCAAACTGATGTAACATTTTTAATTAAGAAATTAATGGAATTTGAAAAGTTAAAATATCTTCTCCTTAATGATGATCAATTAAATTTATTTAATAGTGCTTAAAAACCTATATTATTTTTTGATGAGAAGAATTATAATAATTAAAAGTAATATTTTGATGAAGATTCGAAAATCACAAAAATTTAAAAGGGTTTTAAGTCCTATATTAGCATTTAATAAAAATAATCAAAAGGAGCCACAGATTTAAAACTTTTATCATTATTAGATAGTGATATAATAAATCTTTATGAATAATTATATCGAGATCTAACTTTTAAATCATTTTTTTAAAATATAGATTTAAAAGAGTCAAAAACATTTAAACCGAAAAAAAATTCAAGAGAAGCATCCCCAGATCAGTAAATACATAAACATGTAAAATTATAGACCAATGCTGATTAGTGAATATAATTATAAACATGGTATTATAAATAGTAATAACTAATTAAAATATCGTTGTCGGCCATACTAAGCCTAAAGCACCGGATCCCATTCGAACTCCGAAGTTAAGCGGCTTAAGGCGAGGTTAGTACTAAGGTGGGGGACCGCTTGGGAAGTCCTCGTGTTGACAACCCTTTTTTTATATTATTAATTAATTAAATAAAATTAATAAAAATTATTATATTATAATATATATAATTTTAAATAAAAAAGTTAACAAAATAATAAATGATTATTTTAATATCATAAATGTGTATTTTTCACAAATCTATTTCCTTCACTTTTAGTTTTAACTGTTTTACTACCAGGTTTTTAATATTTAGTATTATAATCAATTGTTCCTTTTTTTTATTCATTGATATTCTACAAACAATATTAGAAATTTAATACATTATTTATTTCCTATTATTAAATTTATTATTTTTATTTCCAATAATTAGGATCTGCTTCTTGTGGATTAACAGGTGTACCATCTAAATTTTTTAATTAAGGTAATTCTTTTATGAGTTTTATTCGATATCTATTGATGACAATATATAAATACTGAATATATTCTTCTTCTCCCTATGTAAACATAGGACATATAGGATTTTTAATTAAACTGAGATGTGTTAACTTAGGAAACTTTTCTTTACATTATTGGATAAACCTTTGATTATATATTTAATTACATATCAAAATTATTGAAATTGTTTTTATTTGCACTAAGTGTGATTAAATTAGGTAAAATAGGAAAATCATCTAATCTGAAAAAATAATTATTATCTATGATTAAGGTTTCTAAATTAGGAATAAACATAATAAATTCTTTTCCAGATTTTAAGAGATTACTCTAAAGTTATAAAAAGTCTTACCGAAACATCTAAATGCTTTACATTTGGTTAAGGATCTTAAGCTTATTCTGATAAGTCTTTAAGTTTCATTCCAGCCAAGATTAACATGTTATGTAATAATAATTATTTATATAAATATATAAATAAAAGTTTCAGTCTTTTTTAGCAAGAAAATTTGTTTGCGTAATTTGAAGACTGTTTAATTAACTTGTTGAAGGACTAAGTTTAGCTCTTTTACTTAATTTGATAGAGTCATTTTAAAAGAATTTATCATCTTATGCCCAATTGCTTATTTTATCATCAGAAATCAATATCATAGGTTCATTAGTTAACTTTTAATGTGTAAATTGAAAGGGTTCTAAATGAAAATAAAATTTTCTAATAGATAAATAGATCATAGCTAAAATGGAGAAACAAAGATAAAAATTTTCCATTATCATAGCAGGCAAAAAAGATGTGAATGTTTAGGTTACAGTAACTAATATTTGTAATAAATGAACAAGGATTAATAATAGATAATAAATGACTTTAAGAAATTTTCTATTAATTTTGGAATGATTTACTTCAAAGTTTTCCATGTTCTTTTTTTCATTTAAATTTTAAGGCAAGAATGCATTAAAATAATAATGGATAAAACTGAAATCATTCCCCAATCAAAATAGTTTAAAATCTATAGACTCTCTTAAAGTGTTATAAATTTATTCCTTGGTTAACAGAGTACAAAGTCAAAAACATATAAAGGCATTGATAATACAACAAAAATTGAGCTAAAAATTACTAAATTAAATAAAGGGATTTTAGATTTAGTAGGTAATGTATTTGTAAACTCTTAATAATTTAAACTTAATAATCCAATTTTTCCTAAGATATAGAATAATTGATTAGCATAAATAAATATATTTTCTATGCCTTCAAGTTTACATACACTTTAAGAATATCTTATTATTTCAATAGTTTAAAGTATAATATTACTAAATATTATGATAGTAAAGTAAGTAAACAATAATTTCCAACTACAATCTATTCTTTAATCTCGAAAATAATATTTGAAATTCATATTTTATTAATATTTAATTTCATGAAGAGGTAAAGAGGATTAAGTTAATTAGTTAGATGTTTTTTGTTTTTTTTTCTTTTTCTTTTTAAATTTCTTTTTTTGCTATTTTTACTTATCAATTTAAATAGGTTCTGTTTATTTGTTTTCTTCTTGGATTTAAAAGAGAAACTACTTAGCTGAATTGATTCTTACATCTTTATTAGATTTTTTGGATTTATGATGATCTACATCAATTTAAGGAGAACAACTATTATTAATGGATTGGTCTGATAATTCATTGATTGTAGAAAGCTATCTTTTCAATGTGATTGGTATTCTATTAGATAATGATCTTGAAGTAAGTACTTTTTGATTCTTTCCAATCTTTCCATCTCCTTCTTCTTTAATTAATATTTGTCAAACTATTAGATCTCTTATTATTCTTATTGTTTTTGTACTTATATTACAATTAATTCATTTGGACTCTACTTAATCAATTTCTTTACTTTATTTTCTCTATCTTCTTCTTATTACTCATTTTGATCTATGTCGACTATTGGGTCTTTTGAATTGATTTCAGTAGTAATCATATAATATATTATTTAATTTATGAAGTACTCAATACAAAGCAAATACATACTATACAAAGATCAACTAATAAGTGGATATGTGTGCATTGAGGATGAATTCATCAAACATATATTACATGAGCCAAATGAATTATTAATTCAATATCCTATAAAGTATGTCTACGAAAATCAAGTGCTAATGGCTGCAGCTATAGATACTAATGTATCTTTAACTATGTGGAATCATATTGAAGAATTTACTAAGTAAGATGTTTACACTAAAAGATTGGCAATTGTAGGAGGTACATCATTGATTGTGAATAAACCTTACTAACTGAATTTAGATATGGATTCAAATGAAACATATTAGATGTAAATCGAATAACTGCAATCCAAATCATAAACTGATTTTATTTAAATGGCCAAAATTAAACAAAAAGAGGATGTACACACTCAAGTCCTATATTTCCATAGATCGATTAACTAGTGAAGCAAGGTGCATTTTGTTTTGATTGTCATCTTTTGCCATCCTATGCAGGAACATATTTTAAAGATCTATAGTAATTACAATAAGTTTTGTTACTATTGCCATCTTAAACATGTCTATTTATACACACTTAAACTACTGTAGACAAAGATCTAGGTATTACATCACCATTCAGAAGTAAACCATTTGCTGAAAGATTAAATATAACTTAATTAGATTTAGTTGACGCTGATGGAGTATCAGGATCATGTATTAGTGATGATGAAAATATACAAAATGATGATCCAAAATATTTGTAATAAATGGATTACCTTGATGAGAGTAATTCTCCAATAAAAGAAATAGGTATGTTTCTAAAGTAATGACTAGTTAAAAAATATAAGAATTCCGATGAAAAGAGAATTTCAGAATTTGATGATTAATATGATACTCCCTAGTCTCCAAAACTGTAATCTAATATATATAAAATAAAATCTAAATAGATTACTGAGCAATCATAAATATCTTTAATAAGTAGAGCTGAACTTATAACCTATAAAGAGGCTNCTTAATCAATTTCTTTACTTTATTTTCTCTATCTTCTTCTTATTACTCATTTTGATCTATGTCGACTATTGGGTCTTTTGAATTGATTTCAGTAGTAATCATATAATATATTATTTAATTTATGAAGTACTCAATACAAAGCAAATACATACTATACAAAGATCAACTAATAAGTGGATATGTGTGCATTGAGGATGAATTCATCAAACATATATTACATGAGCCAAATGAATTATTAATTCAATATCCTATAAAGTATGTCTACGAAAATCAAGTGCTAATGGCTGCAGCTATAGATACTAATGTATCTTTAACTATGTGGAATCATATTGAAGAATTTACTAAGTAAGATGTTTACACTAAAAGATTGGCAATTGTAGGAGGTACATCATTGATTGTGAATAAACCTTACTAACTGAATTTAGATATGGATTCAAATGAAACATATTAGATGTAAATCGAATAACTGCAATCCAAATCATAAACTGATTTTATTTAAATGGCCAAAATTAAACAAAAAGAGGATGTACACACTCAAGTCCTATATTTCCATAGATCGATTAACTAGTGAAGCAAGGTGCATTTTGTTTTGATTGTCATCTTTTGCCATCCTATGCAGGAACATATTTTAAAGATCTATAGTAATTACAATAAGTTTTGTTACTATTGCCATCTTAAACATGTCTATTTATACACACTTAAACTACTGTAGACAAAGATCTAGGTATTACATCACCATTCAGAAGTAAACCATTTGCTGAAAGATTAAATATAACTTAATTAGATTTAGTTGACGCTGATGGAGTATCAGGATCATGTATTAGTGATGATGAAAATATACAAAATGATGATCCAAAATATTTGTAATAAATGGATTACCTTGATGAGAGTAATTCTCCAATAAAAGAAATAGGTATGTTTCTAAAGTAATGACTAGTTAAAAAATATAAGAATTCCGATGAAAAGAGAATTTCAGAATTTGATGATTAATATGATACTCCCTAGTCTCCAAAACTGTAATCTAATATATATAAAATAAAATCTAAATAGATTACTGAGCAATCATAAATATCTTTAATAAGTAGAGCTGAACTTATAACCTATAAAGAGGCTCCAAAAATGGAATAAAATTATAAATTTCCATGTGATGATACAGATAGTATATAATCATAGTAATAACAACAACAATAATTAAAATAATAATATCCATAATATAAGATAGAAACTAAACTTTCAACTCAAGATCAGGAATCACCGTTAGGATCAAAAAAAGATTCTAATCAATAAGATTCTAATTAAAAACACAGTCCCTAAATGTCCATACAATCTTCAGATATATCTTCACCAGAGAGTTTGTCTTTAAAATCTGAATGTCGATTAAGATCAAGAGCTTAAACTACTTAAGGACTTTTATAAAGGAGATAATCAAAAACTGGATTTGCCTTAGTTTTACATTAAGTTGAAGATAAATCAAATGGCAAACATGGTTCTGGAGACATGTTATTATTAAACTTCTCAGAATCAAGACCTCGATAAAATTAAAATAATAATAATAGGTTTAATAGAGATTATCTATGTTTTTTAGCTTTTCGACCTGCTACTTGGGAAAAATTTGCAATTTAAAAAATAAAAAAGATAATCAAATAATAATTTAAATGTAACATTATTTTTAATGGATTTTCTTCTTCATTTTCTTTAGTGGAAATAAAAGAACTTATCAACAATTAAATATTTAGTGATATAGGATATCCTTATCTTTTATTAGATAGTGATGATATAAATGATGGAGTAACTAAATTCAAATCTGATCCACCTATTCGATAAAAATATAATAAATAATTATTATAAAAAGCAATTTCATAAAATAATTGGATCAGTAGTATTTCAAGTTAACATTTATATGTTAATGGTTTGTATAAATTTGAAGAATAAGGAGATTTTCGAAAAGCAGTCAGTGGATTGTGTAGTTTAGGATGCACTTTTCAAGCTTTATGGACTTTATTATTTTGTAAAAAGAATCAAGATCCAAATATTATTAAATAAGTCTTCTATAATTAAGACATAAATAATTCAAAATATAAAAGAATAGTTTTAAAACTTATTTAATTATAATAACTTGTATCCAAAGGACCAGCATAATATTTAAATCTCAAAGATAGAGGTAGTATAGAAGTTGGAAAAGTAGCCGATTTAGTTGTATTTGACCCCTTAAAGGCATGGAAAATGAATTTCGAAAAAATTAATCATAACTTTACTTTTTCTATTGACAAACACATATTTAAAAATAGACTATTCTTAGGTTCTGTTGATTCAGTTTTTATTAGAGGTATATAAATTTTTTAATTTAGGTGAAATAATTTTATATTAAGAAAATCAAATAATATCTATTTAAAATAGAAAAGGAATTTAAATAATATTGAAATGATTTTATATGAAATCACTAATTATATACTACTCTCATTATTTAATTAAAACTTTAATCTCTTGATTTGTTAATTCAATTGTTTATTATTATTTCTTTTTTATTTCTTGCATTTTAGTTAGTGAATATATAAATGATCCAACAAACGATAAAGAAATTCCTAATGTTAAAAAAGTATCTGGTTGAATATCTGCAAATACCAGGATACTTAAAATAGTAGAAAAAATATCCTAAAAAAATGTTTTTTATTTCTTACTTTAATATTGTGGGTTAAAGCTATTGCAAAAGGAGAATTTTTCATTGTGCAATTATAAGTAGCTAAATTTAAAAAAAACCCAAATAATGCTACTAAAGTAAAACTAAGCATAAATTCTGTTCTATATAGAGATTCAAATTCAAAAAATTATTTAATGTCTTTTGTTAAAATACTAATTATTAATAATACAGGCCATAAATTGATGCTATTATTATAAACTAAATCTAATGGACTAAATTATTATGATTAATTGAGCCCTTAAGCCAAATGAAGGTTTAGAGCAGATAACATATTATTTATCAATAATAATAAATATCCTTAAACATCATCATTAAAGTGCTCCAATCCTAAAATAATTTTTATTAAATACCTGCTATAATTGCTCCTGAAGTAATAAAAAATACAGATATAAGAAATTTGAAACTTATTTATTAGTTATTTTTTCCCATCAGAATTTATACAACAAAAACGAAAAATATTAGGGTTCTTCTCAAAGCTAAAAAGCTATTTTATTGATATAAAATTACAGCGGTATACTAATCTTTGATAATGCTGTCATACCACAATAAGCACCAGTTCCATATGATATGGAAAATGGAATAGTTAATTTATTTTATTTGACTCTTTCTTTAAATTAAGTCACAATCAATTATAAGATAGATATCTGAGAATCTTTTTTCTCCTTCTTTTCTTTATTGTACTTTATTATTTTATAAATTGTGCAGATGATGATATTAATTGTAGTCTCATATAAAAGCAACTATCTATATTATATTTTATTTCTTACAATAGTAGTATTGTGAAAGGCAAAGATTTTAAAAAGAAATTTAGCTGAAAATGAAAATGTCATAGAGCAGAAAGCATAGATTAAACAAATAAAAACGCTTTCAATAATTTTGTTTTACATAAATTTATTAATTATTTTCTTTATTAAAAATAAATGTATTGATTTTCTAACAAACAAATTGATTCACATGTATTTTTTAAAAGCTTATTATTAGATCCTGTAAATCAATTCATTAAAAAACTGTAATAAAGATTTTAGAGACAAATCATTTAAATTGAAATATAATATTTTATTTTAAATTTTAATATTAATACATTTAATAAATGGGGTCTTGTAATAGCTGCCCTTCTTCTTAATATGTACAATCAAACATTGAATCAGAAGAGGATAGTAAAATTGTTAAGAGAGTAAAATCTAAACCAAATAAAGGTACAGGAACTTATGAAAAGAGTAGAACTGATTTGGAAGATAATTTAATTGCTGATGAAAATAGTCTTGAAAACAGTTAGCAATTGCCTACATTTATTTAATAAAGGCATGTAAAAGAAATTGTTGTATAAACAAGAGTAAATAGATTTATGAAGGATATTGAAGAGGAAGTAAGATATCGAATAAAATAGATGTAGTTTATACATGATTACCTAGATAATTAGAAGAAAAAGAATAGTAGGAAAAGCTTAATTAATCACAATAACATCTTATGACATTTTAGGATTGTAAACAAGATTCTGTAGATTTCAACAGCGCACATTTTAATTAATCTATCTCATTCTAAAATTCTTAAGATTTTTAAAATTTGCATAATATACCTTCGAAAACTTATTTACCTAGATAATATTCACAATTTGCACCTAAAAAAGATTCTGATACTGTTACTTATAATTCTTAAATTAGTTAAACAGTTAATTCTTTCAAATAAAAAACCCCAACCAGAGAAAAAAATAGAACAATTCAAACTCTAAAAGAAGAAGATAAAAGTAATTTTGGAAGTTTTGGAAGCTAGCAAAATAATCCTCGCAATTCAGATTCTTAAGAAGTTTAGTTTAGCGATCATTTTCATGAATAAATTTCGAGTAGTGCAAGTAAAGAACATAGTGTGAGAAGCATTTTAAAAACTAGCTAACATATTTAAGTTATAAAAAGAATTCATTCTATTAAATCTACTTACACAAATATTAAAAAAAAAAAAGTCTCATTCTCAGCTGATACAAATTACTATGCTTCCAGAACTACAAAAAGAAATTAAACTAATCTTATTTACAAACCATGAATACGTTTATTTTGTATTAGAATTTTTCGTATCCTTTATAAATTATATAAAACGATTTAAATTGATTTATATAAGTTATTTTATTTAGGGTTTACAAATTTATTTAAAATTTTTAATTTATTGAAGTTAACTTTAAAAATACAAAGTCAACTTTAATCTTGACTGGAGGTCATGCAATTTTTGTAGAATTACAAAATTATTTCTAAAAAATCAAAATGAATAATATAAAAAAATTAAATTTCTAATAGTAACTCTTTATATAGATTATTATTTTTACAAAATCTAATCATACATAATCTTTATTAGTATTTAGAATTATAAAATAATCTTTTCAAACAAGTAATATTTCGGATTTTTAGAGTAACTTGATTTAAATAAATGTACCTCTAATTTGATAATTTTTCTGTTTTTAATAGATTTAACAGATTTAATCATAAATGAAACCAGATTATTTTGATGGAACCTTTGAAAATCCTTTTTGAAGTATATATTATATTAATTCTTTCTATAAGTATTAATCATTGAAATATAAATTATTTTATATAATAAACTGAATGTTATATGATCCTACCACTTATAAAGGAATAAAAGGTGGCACATAATTTAATGAAACTGAATTTTTTGAATCTTTAGCAAACAAAGCACCTAAAAGCAAGTCAATTTAATGTAACTTAAAGGTTAAGAATCAAACCGCTGTTCTTAAGAAAAACAAAAAATAATCTACTTTAAGTGCAGAAAAAAAATACACATCTCCAAAATTAAAATCTCCTATGAAGTTAATTACCCATAAGTAGAGTGGATCTTCATGTTCTTTAAATTGTGAAGAATATATTACTAAAATAAAATAATGGAATTAAAATATGATGAATAAAATTGGCAGAACACAATAATTTTCTCCACCTAAGAAAGGTATACTCGAATAATGTATTGAGTCTTATATGAAAAAATAATAATTCAAACGGATAGTGACATGAATATGATATTTTTCATGAATTTTCATATTAATCTCTATATTAATTTTATTATATGTCTAAAATTTCTTTGGCATAGTTTATTTGATTTTACATTAATTGCTAATATTAATTTTATGGATTTGTAAAATTTAATAGCTAATGTTAAGTATTGATTGGTTTGGCTTCATCTTCACTTTTTTTCATAAATTTAAGGCTTTTATAATGTTATCTGATAAATTATTCATTAAATTAAATAATGATGTCTCATCGTTCATAAGGTCCTCTTAGAGGACAACATTACAGACAAGCTAATTTAGCATAAATGGGAATAAAGATAATAGATTAGAAAAGCGAGTCAATATATGTTGACTCAGAAGTATCAATTAAGAAACGAAAACAAAAGAACCCTCTAGAGATTAATCGTGGATTATATAAATCATAAACATATAAGGAAATTTATAAATAGGATTCCTAAAAACAAAATGATAAATTTGATTCTCCTTTGGATTAATCTCTTAATTAGCCTCTTTATGTAACAAATAAATTTTCCAGTTCTTTAAGAAAATTCAATGTTCATGGAATCACAAAAATATTTATTTAGAAATTATTATACAATCTAAGAATTTTTTAAAAATAATAGAATCTCACAATGAGATTTCAAAAATTTTTAGAAGATAAAGCAAGTGATACTATTAATGAAGAATTAGAAAATAAGGAACATTTAAATTGTAAATTGTTTTTAAAAGATTCTTATGAAAGAACTCTCTTAGATTTGAGTTTAATTATTATCTTAATATCATATACTATTTTGGTTCCAATATTTTGTAACAAATTTGAATTGTAATTAATATTTGGTATGACTAAATCTTTATGATAGTATTTTTATATTCAATTTTTAAAGTTATTGATTACAAAACATGTTGCTTTATCGATTTACCAATAATTTGTATCAATATATTGGCTTTGTATCAAACTCCCTTAGTTTTTACAAACATTATAAATGTGATAAAAATCTATTAATTATTAAAGACAATTAATATTTTTACTGAAAAAAGATTAATAGGGTTCACTTTTTCAATTTTGACAATGATAATGCATGTTAATAATAGTGCACTATTTTGGAAATATTTATTAGAAGATGATTTCGATTACCAATATTTATTGAGTGAATAAATTAAGTTATTATTTAATTTTGAAATGGAAATAAAGGATAATAACTATTAAATTTATAATTCTATAAATAGAATTTTAAGCTTTTTAGTAATATTATACTTTTCATAACAATTCTTAAATTTCCTTAAATTACCAAAAAATTTAAAAAAGAAAGAGGAATTATTTGAATAATTATTGAGTAAAAATACAATGAGTAAATAGCCTTTTAGAATATAACATTAAGTTAGATAATTATTATGGTCAAAAGTTTAGAATTACAAATAAGTAGATTCACACCCTATTTAGTTTGAATTGAATTTTCCTAAAGAATTAAGAAGATCACTCAATTTACATAGTTATTTGGATATTATTTAAAAATCTACATTCATTAAATAACAATTCAGTCCATAGTTTTAATAAAGTTTGTCAGAATTTGTTAAAGAATAGATAGTGGAATCAGGTGAAATAATTTAAGAAGAGAATTAAAGTGTGAATAAATTAATATTTTTATTGGATGGAGAATTATAAATAAAAATCAATAATAAAAGAATATAATTAATGAAAAAAAACAGTATAATAAATTAATATGAATTTTTTGCCTGTTAATTATCACCTTGTAATATAATAGCAAAATCTAGATGCAAAATTATAGTAATTGACTATTAATAGTTTTATGATTTAGTTAGTATGCATAATCAAGATTTTCAGATATACAGAATGTGGTATGATAGAATGATACATTAAAAATAAAGGTGTGTGTACAAAGTATTCATATATATATATTTAAAAATAGGTTTGTTATATTTGTATGGATAATCATCAAACTTGTATGTGTCCGGCTGTGTTTTATTAACCAAATTATAATAAAATTGTATCTAATAGCACATATACAGTTCCCAATTTTAGATTAAAATATCATAGATTTGAGAAAAAAAGATTATCGTCTTTGATTTAATAAAATCTAATAAGCATTACTGCAGTAAACTGGGCTCAATAATTTAATTTGATATCAAAAAATACAGAATTAGTTGATTAGTGTTTAGGTTAGTAGGATAGAGAAGAAGAATATTAATTATTTGCAGATGAAGATCATACATCAAAATATCTTACTTAAACTTATACTCATCAATAGAGCATTAAATCTCCAAAAACAAATAAAACTGGAATAACTGGAAGGGAAAGAGATCGTGTACATACAGATTCTAACATTAATCGCACCCTTACTATAAGAACGTTGAAAGCTTCTGAAAATGGAACTACAAGATTAAAGCCAAGTAATGTAAATAGTAACAATGATTCTATTGTTGTAAGTAATTCTCCTTCTCCATTATAATAACCTAATAAAGCACCCTTAATGCTTTTTACAAAAGAATAAATAAAAAGACAATCTAACATCAGTAGTAGCTTTACCATTGATAGAGGTTAAGATAAGAAATCTTCATTACAATCCTAATAATAACCAGTTCATTCAACAAGTATTTTATAAAGTAAAGAGATTGTACAATAATTGTAAAGTAACTTAGGCAGTCCAAATATGCTTAATACCTAAACTAAATTCAATGGAAATGATTTCAGTATCAATTTGCATCGATCCGATACATAACCTATTGTAAATTATCATTTTTAAATTAGTTTTCTGAATTAATTGGATCAGTCGGTTAATTAATAGTGATTCGAGATTTTGAAAACATGCAATTCTATTAATGGTATTTTCCAAATCATAATTACATAATTGTAATTGAGAGATTTAGAAAGTTTTTAAGTAAAAAATTCAATAGTAGATGATTTTTAATATTTATTATCTGATAAAAATAAAATTACTAATAATAAAACTAACTTTTTGTATATAGATAAAATTTATATGAATAGAAAGTTGATTAATAATAATAATAATTGATATCAAATATCTAAATTATTGTGATATTATGATTTAAATCTTTTTATTTTAATTGCATAAATTAAATTAATTAAAAATGGCACACTCATCATCATCAGGTGGATCATCAAATTTCTTATATGACTTTTTAGCAGGTGGTGTTTCAGGAGCTTTAGCAAAAACAATAGCAGCTCCAATAGAAAGAGTAAAATTGTTACTTTAGACACAACATACAAATCCAAAACTAATAGCTAGACCATATGCAGGTAATAAATATTTAGAAAATTTTAGGAATTTTAGACTGCTTTAAGCGAGTATTTGTAGAAGAAGGTGCTCTTTCTTTTTGGAGAGGAAATTGGGCAAATGTTATTAGATACTTCCCAACATAAGCCATTAATTTTTCTGTGAAAGACGCTCTTAATAGATAATTCTTAGCTGGTGTTGATGCAAAGAAATAACCAGGCAGGTATTAAATAAAAATAATTAGATTCTTTGCTGGTTCATTGTTAAGTGGTGGTATTGCAGGAAGTATTGGATTATTAATTGTGTATCCACTTGATTTCAGTAGAACAAGATTAGCAGCTGATATTGGAAAAGCAGCAAATGAAAGACAATTTAAAGGATTAGTAGATTGTATGGGATAAATTATCAAAACTGATGGCATTACAGGAATCTATTAAGGATTTGGTATTTCAGTTGTTGGTATATTTGTTTATAGAGCTTTATATTTTGGGTAAATAAAAATTTATTATAATTTAGTGGTTATGATGCTGGTAAAAGAGCTATTTGGGGAGATGATGCTGCTTAAAGAAATTCATCTATTTTAGCTAGATTCTTTTTTGCTTAATTTGTAGTATCAACATCAGAAACACTTGCATATCCACTTGATACTGTTAGAAGAAGATTAATGATGTAAGCTGGATAAAAGGGTAATCTTGAATATTAAGTAATTTACATATTATTATATTTAGGGAACTGTTGACTGTTTTTCAAAAATATTATCAAAAGAAGGACCAACAGGATTCTTTAAAGGAAATCTCTCAAATATTTGGAGATCTGTTGGTTCATCATTGGTCTTAGTATTTTATGACGAATTCTAAAAATTAATGGCATCAGGTGGAAAACATTGATTCATTTAATAGTAATAATTACATTATTTTTTAATATGCAATAATATATAGAAACAGCTTAGAAAGTCATTCCTAAAAATCTAACTACTTATTTCAATACAGTTGTAGGAGCTATTAACATTTTCTAAACCATGTCTAATAAATTTTATCCTGAATATTTGGAAGTGTAAAATGCAAAAAATTTTTAAATTGATGATCCAACTGTTTATTCATCTATTTATTAAGGGGATCCTCAATTAGAAAACAATAAAAGAAAATCTCTTATTTTAAAGTATGAGTTTTTATTTAATAGATTATCTTAGAGCAGAACATTACAAAATCATAAATTAATTTTTAGAAAAATATAATTTTGATAAACAATTCAATTCATAATTGATTGGGTAACACTTTTTTAATGAATATACGGGATGTTGCCAAATTGACTTATAAATAATTATGACTGATATTTCTGGATTATTTTATGAATAATCTGGATTTATTGATAAAATTAAATGGCTCAACCAAACTATAGATGAAGTTTCACTTATTCTCCTTGAATACATTAAAGGAAAATTTTAGACGGAATATATTTTTGATGAATTTATCATCTCTTTTGCTGAAATTTAAAATTTTATTTATAAAAAAGTAAATAAAAGGGCAAAATCAACACAAAAAGATACATATATCAAATTAAAATAAAAATTAAAATAATATTTTAAAGAATTGCATGACACTGATGTTTAACTTCAAATAATATGTGATTAAATTAATTAAAAAAATGTTCAACTCTTGGATACAATGACTTTAATAGAAAACCATTACTAAATTCATATGATTTGCTTTTAAGAATATATTGCTCAAAACTATAATTTCACTTTATCAAATACAATCATGTATAAAATTATTAATAATTTAGACATAAATATTTTTAAAAACTTAGAAGAAATTTTGTGTCAAAAGTTTAAGAAAGTTTTGTTCCTTACTTAAATTTCAATGATTAAGATACTTATAATAAGTATCAAATGCAAATATAATTTTACTTTTAACAATTTATTTAGAATCAAGAATTTTCTTAAGGTATTACAATTCCAGAAATAAATACTAACTTATAGTATTTAATATACTCTATTGATTGGATATAATCTAGTGTTGAAGCTGATTAAGCTCTGGTATTTTTGGAAATATTATCCTAATTTAACATTAATATAAGTTAATCTGTTAGCCAAATCTTTTCTAAATAATAGTTCTCTGTCAATGTTCTTGTAAATTTTAAATAACATAACAAGTAAAGATGTCTAAAAGCTCAACAATGGTGGAACCAATAAATAGATGAAGAAACTAACTTATTAGTGATTTGTTAAATCTATATAATTTTTGCAGGATTAAAATTTTAAAATGGCAAATTAATCTTTGGAGATTATGAACCTGCTAAAAGAAATGCTTTATTCTTAATACTTAGATAACTTAATAACGGAAAATATCAGTATTTTAATAATATTTTAATGAAATTATGTGAATAAGTAACCCATAATATTTAATTTTAAATTTTAAATTAAATGAAAAATAGATTGTAAAACAAATAATAAGATTAATAAGATAATTCTATGTAATAACCTTTTTCCATTGAATTAGCTGGTACAAAAGTTTCAGTTTTATTATTCGGTTTGGGTTTAAATTAATCTTAAATTAATTTAGAATTTTACAAAAAAAACGAAAATTTACTCATGATCATTACTCCAGAGAATGGAAATACAATGAATTAAATAAAGGATGTTTAATTTGCATCATTTTAGAAAAATTTTGATGAAATAAAGTTAAAAATAATTGAAAATTAGAAGAAAAAGAAGAATGCAAATAATATTCCCTTAACAGTGATGCCACCAAGTTAAATGTACTTTTAATTACTTTCAAATAAAGATCATAATTCTAATGTCATAACTTTATGTATTTCAGGATTTTTAAGTGGAGATAATGATAAATTATATTAATGGGGTGATTTATTGCATTCCTGTTCAGGCACAGTTTTGGGCTTGCATTGGAATTGTAGTGAAACTAAGTAATTTGTTACAACAGTAGCTGAGAATTTGATACCACAATTATTTAGTAAGATAAATATTTTTGGAGTCGCTATAACTGCTGTTGGGTTATTAGCATAAAATCCTTATGAGAAAGCACATAAGGAAGCTGAGAGGGTTGGAAAGTACTTAGCATATTTAATTGCTGATTATTAGTTATTTGGAAATAGATAAATTAATTTAATTTGTCATTCATTAGGAAGTATAATCGTTTTGGAGTGCATAAAAGAATTAGATAAACTATATGAAAATTAGAAAAAATAATTTATTAATGAAGTATTGATAATGGGAGGGGTTGCTGATGTTTATAAATTATAAAAAAGAAGATGGAATGCAGTTGCAGGAAGAATTTATAATATATATTCAAAAAAAGATCAGATATTGAATTTTGTATTAACAGCAGCAAAAGTCTTTGATTCTCCTTGTGGTATATATTTTAAATTTAAAATATATAGGATTAAAGCCAATTTATTTAGGATATAAGTAAGTCATAAATTGTGATTTTACTTAAATTGTTAATGGTCATTCTGATTATTGGAATAGGATGATTAGAATATTAATGTAATCTGATTTCAACAATGACTTTAAGTTCATGACTAGGTCAATAAAGGAAATTTTTTGAATATTATTATAAAATTATGGAGGATATATAATTGATTATACGAAGAATAAAACGTTCAGGTGAGCCTAGGTTGATTCTTTCTGGTAAATCTATGATCAGTATACCTCCTGAAATCTATCAATTAAAATTGACTCATTTAGATCTAAGTTTTAATAAAATCACATCAATTGAATCAAAAATTGCAGGATTAACTAATTTAGAAGAGATTGATTTAAGCAATAATTGTATAGAAGAAGTGCCAGAAGAATTATTGAGCATGTCTAATTTATAAAGTTTGAATCTAAGCAATAATCCATTATTACCAAAATTTTAAACATTGTAAGGCCATTTTCATCAACCATAATTGAATCAAATATTACAGAAAGTGTTTTAAATAAGTCCAGGATCAAATCAATAAGCAAAGTAGGAAAGACAGCCAATTGTTGAGAGGCCTAAAACATAGAATCGTGCAGTTAGATAAATATCTGAATTACAACATACTAATCATGTTTTAGAGATAGATTCAAATGAATTTGAAGTCCATGAAATAATTTCTTAAGGAGGATTTTCAATTGTACATAGAGGATATTTGAGAGGTACAGAAGTAAGTCTTAATGTGAATAATAGATTGCCATAAAAAAAATATTCAATCCTAATATTACATAATAATTATTGGATGAGATTAATAATGAAATTGAAATGCTTTCATTATTAAGACACCCTAATATTGTATTATTAATGGCATGTTGTACAAAGCCTCCAAATTTGGTAATTGCTACAGAGTATGTTTAAGGTGGAAGTTTATATCATTTATTGCATAAAACAAAGTATTTAAATAAGAAATAGTTTAGTCATTAAATAAATGAGTAATTCAAATATTCAATAGCAATACAGATAGCTAGAGTACTTTAATATATGCATTAAGCAGGAGTTGTTCATAGAGATATAAAATCACATAATGTACTTTTGTAAGGATAGACAATAAAATTATGTGATTTTGGTTTAACAAAGAGAAGTGTAAAGATATAGTATATAATATGATAGTCTGAATTGAATTAAGGGTATTAATAATTCAGTGGAACACCAACATATATGGCACCAGAATTATTTGCAAAAAGGGTTAAGATATAAAATATTGATATTAGGCATATGATAAGAGTGTAGATTTATTTGCATATGGTACTTTGTTGTGGGAGATTTTTGCAAGAGAGATTCCATGGGATTGTTTAGAGATGTAAGAGATAGTTCAAAAGGCAATGAAAAATGAATAGTTGCCAGGAAGAAATGTGCCAAAGAACATTTTATAGTTAGTGAATGAATTGAGAAGTAAGGATGAGACAAAGAGGCCATCAATGGATATCGTAGTTAAATAGTTAATGAATAGATGATTTATATAATAATAAGATAAAATGATCAGGTTTACTAAAATGATGAGAGGTTTAAATCATAAATCTTAATTTTGGCATATAGTATCTAAAAGAAGTAATAAAAAAAAGATATTTAGATGTCCATATAACTTATAAAGATGATTTATTGGTGTTAACATTTCCATTCATTATGGGTCCTAAGATGTTTTTTGCTCATTAACAATATTCATTTTTGACTTTGATGGAGCAGTTGCAATTAGAAGAATCGACTAAAGTAGAGTTTAATTTAGATGGAACAGATTTAAGTTTGAGTAGCAACCTTTTCAATTATATTTTGAAAGACAAAAAAAACAAAGCAATAAAGTTATAGATATAAGATGAAGAATTTACCATTAACCCAGCATACTAATTAATTGAAGCTAAAATGTTAAATTAATAAACTTAGTTGAAACATTCTCCATAAAAGAAATACATTCAAATGGTAAATTTAGGAATGGATCCAAGTCATGCTAATACATTGTCTTGGTTTTTGAATTCTTGCAATATCTAATAAAATTTAACAGAAAAAGAAATAGTTAAAGTGATGGAATAAGGATTGTCTATACTTAAATAACCAACTAAAGATAAGTTATATGAGTTGCAACATTTGATTAATATTTTGGAAGCTGAAATTTGTAAATAACGAGAACAATTAGACGTAATGATTGGTGAAGCAGAAAAGACTGGATATAGATGGTTATCTCTTTTATTTGTGTTATCTGTTTTATAAATAGGTGCCTTTTATTATGGTATATATATGGTTGATGAATGGGGTTGGAATGTATGTGAACCATTCACATATACATTATAATGTGTAACTGTTCTTATGGGAATGATTTTCTATATTAGATACAGAAGATAAAGAGAGATTGAATCCATTAGATGGGCATTTATGTTTAGGTATAATTATAGATTTTATTAACGTAGAAAATAAACTAAAGAAAGAACTTGGAAAGATAGATGGAATCATCTAAATACTCTCATATCCTTGAAAGAAGAATAAAAAAGAGGATTAGAATTAAGAAAAACAATTCTCTACAATAGAATGAACTATCACTATTATGTTTAATAATAGAAAAAATGATTTATATCATTATACATAAAACCAATATTATCAATTCCACAAGATTCTTTATTGGCATCTTTTTTTACCCAAAGTAAGTTGGATTTTTGAAATTAAATATAAAAGAATTATCTAAATTTTCTGAATTCAAACTTTACAAATTTTACATTAATGAATTATAAAATAAAATAAATAGAAGATTCTTTAGCTTTTATCTAGAAAAACTAATCTGAAAAAATATCACTATTTGACTCAAGAAATAAATAAATTTTAGATACTAAATAACAAATGAAGTAAGTTTATCATCTTAAATATTTATTCTTTTTTGGTAAATATTACTAAACATTTTCTCTGTGTTTCTCTATCATTAATTAAAGTAGTTCAAGTTCCTTTTACTTATTTTATGACTCATTTAACTATTTAATCATTCTAGGTTTGACTTCCTTTATATTAAGTATTCTATGTATGGAAGAAGATTTGACAAACTCTTAATGATGATCTGTCTTGAGATGAGTTCTTCTAAGTTTATGAGGGTTGGTCTGGCAATTTTATTATCTATCAGTTGAAGCATTTATATGATTAATCTCTTAGAGTGGTTACAATATTTATTTATTAGAACAACTCAATTAATTAAAAATTTTACTTTATTTTAATCTTAAATTACGCTTTCTGTTGTTAAATACTTTCCTTACTTTCTTACTTATTATCTGGTTATAATTTAAATTGATGGTACATATCATATTTTGACTATTCATTTACTTATAGAAATTCCATAATTCTCTTCAATTCCTATATTTTATTGTTGTTATTCATAATTTAATTAGGCACAGGCATTTAATTTGAAGTTCTAATTTATAGCAATAAATCAAAAATAATATAATAAACATACTCGATTTATATTGTTCCTCTTCTTATCGATGTTAGCACAAGCTTATACTTCTTTTTTAGAATTTTTATTTATTTATTATTTGTTCTATGTTATTATTTTCATAATTTATACAGTTTGTAGGTTTCGGAATTAATTGAATAGTCTTTTAATCTTATTCTTAGAGCCATCCAGAAATTGATAATGAGTTTTCAGATAATTCCATTTATTAAATATATAGTTGTTAATTATATAAACTAATTTGAGATGGATGTAATTAAAATAACCATTAGAATAGTTAAAATAAAGGCTTGAAAATTAGAGAAATGCTTGATTTAAGAATAAATACAAAATTAAGTTTCAATTTTGTTTATCCGATTCAATTTTGACTTATTCTACCTATAGTTATTAGCCTTACGTTTGATAACTCTATGATATTTATTAAAATTATACTTATAGCATCAGTAATAATTGCATATTAATCATTTTTTATTGGGCCAACTCCCTTTAACAAATCGCTAATGCCATTTAAGCATTTGGCTCATCTAAATTAGGAGTGGAACCTATTTAACTTTAAGAGTTTAAGAAGTTCAATTGTTATTATAAAATTAATGGATGCTAATTTATAGTCCTATCTGCAGGCTAGAATAAAGTAGATGAATAAAAGTACCCTTAAATCAGGAGAAAATGTCCTTCTATGTTAAGGAGCTTCCCTTTCTAAATCATACATTGATTAAACTTTTCTTGTATTCGTAAAATGATAATCGGAATCATCTTTCTTTTTCTTATTTCTTTCTCTGGTTTTCTTTTTTCCAATTCTTCCTTCCTTTCTATAAGTTTACAAGATAGCTTTTGCTGTACTGAAATTAACTCCAAACTCTTTTGCAGCCTCTTTGATTGTTGCTTCTTTGGAAAGAATACGTTTTAGTAATTAGACTCTTATTTAATGATCAATAACTGCGTATTTCTTTCCATTATCTTTCATATTTAAATTAAGATTATTGTGGTGCCTAAAATATTAAAAGTTCATACAAAGAGTTTGGAGAGAAGTGATCTCCGCTACTTTCCTCTGAATGGATCATATTAATATTTCTATAAGTTTATAAATATTTAAAGTATATTTTGTTAAGAAAGTATCAAAAATTAGTGTAATAACAAAGGAATCAAACATATTTCTAAATTATTAAAAAGTGGTTATGCAATTCAATCTAGAATAATTATTAATAAGTTTAAATATTATCTTAATATATTATTTTAATGATTCCGGCATCCCTATTTTAGAGAAACAAAAAAGATATAAAAAAGCAAGTATCTGAGAGTGATGAAGATGAAACTCCAATGAGAAGAAAGAACAAATTAAATTTTTAAAATCTATAGTTAGTTGATTTCAATGAGATAGCAGATTAAGAAGAATTAGAAGCAGCTAAAGAAGATGCTCAATCAAGTATTAGGAATCCTTACTATAAGATCGATTTCAAAATAACAGTATTAGAGAAGAAGAAGAATCAGATTAAAGTGAATCAACTTCAAGAAAAAAAACTATAAAACAATTACGTTTACCTCGTCTTAGTGATAAAAGATAATTTAATACATTAGATCAAATTGATTAAGTCTAAGAGAATCAATAAAGTTAGGAAGAACCAATGGCTGAACCTATGGCTGAATTCGCTAAAACTCCTTCTCCAAATAGAGGATCAAGCAGATCTCCTAATCAACCAAGTCAAAAATAATAAACTCTTCAAAATTAAGAGGGTATTTTGTTATTTTGAAAATTAGACAGTAGCTCTGAATTTGATATATTCAGCCCAGATAAATCTATGGAAAAAGAACAGGCTCCAAGAAATATTGAATTAGATGAAAAATTAAGTAAATTAACTCAAGAAGCAAATGCAATTGAAAGAATTTTACCAAATTGTATTATTAATCCTTTTGGAAAATTCAGATCTAGTTGGAGTGGAGTTATGATTCTTCTTCTTATCTATGTGTAATTAAATTATTTTAAAATGTTAGAGTTTTAGTTTTGCCTGTACGTTTAGCTTTTGAAACAAATACTTAAGAATTATTGCCATTAGATTTATCTGTAGATTGTTTATTTTTTTTCGATATGGTTTTTACATTTTTCACTGCTTATGAAGATGAAAGAGGTATTGTGATTGTAGAATTCAAAAAAATTGCTGTAAATTATTTAAAAGGATGGTTTTGGATTGATCTTATTTCAACTTTCCCTTTATATCTAATTTTAGATCCAACTGTTTTACCTGGAGCATCTAGTGTTAATGGACTTTTAAGATTAGCAAGATTACCTAGAATCTATAAATTAATTGGAGTTTTGAGAGTAGGAAATCTTATAAAACATCAAACGATTTAAAAATTGTTTTTCTTCTTAAAACTTAATAAAGAATATAGTCTTATCTTAAAATTCATAATTTTAACATTTATTGTTATTCATTTGGCTGGATGTTTTTGGTATTTCATTGGAACTATAAGTCCTGATCCAAATAATAATTGGATTGTTGTTTATATTCCAGATGGAACTCCAGCTGTTGAATAATATATTGCTAGTGTTTATTTTGTATTAACTATTTTGGTTACTGTTGGTTATGGTAATATTTTACCAGTAAATAATATGGAATATGTTGTTGGAATCATTTTCTAATTTCTTGGAGTTGCCTTTTTTGCTTATGTTATGGGTACTTTAACATTTACTTTTGCTAAGCTTTCATAAAAATTAACTATGATTAAAGAAAGAGAAATCTTTTTTAATGAATTAGCTCACACTTATTAATTACCAAAAGAAACACATGAAAGGTTATTAATGTCTATTTAAAACTCTATTTTTTCACATTCTAATTAAATCTTAGAATTTTATAATGAAGAAGACATCATTTAAGAATTACCTCCTTTAGTTTAAGGATTAGTTTGTGAATTTATTTTTAAAGATATTATTGAAAAAATCAGATTCCTTTAAAATAAACCAAGAGGTTTCTTAAGAAGATTATTTCGATCTATGGTTCCAGTATTTTTAAATAAAGGTGATGCTATCTTTTTTAGAGGAGAGCCTGCTGATTTTGTTTATTTTGTTATATAAGGTAGATTGGCAACTAAATGTGAGGATTAAAACGGTAAAGTTAGAACTTTAATTCATGTTGAAGGATCTTATTTTGGAGAGGTAGATATCTTAGTATCTAGAGCAAGAGGAGAATCAGCAATTGCAGAATCATAAGCTGAAGTTTGGAAAATTAGTAAGGAGGCATTTCTTAGAATTCTTAATGATTATGAAGATGTGAAGATGGAAATCTTAGATTATGCTGTTAAGAAAGAGAAAAGTAGAAAAAGCACAGTTAAAATAGTAAAAAATGCTTAATTTTTTGAATTAATAGCTAAATCAAAAAAGGATCAAATTTGTTTAAATAAAGCATAATTAATATTGAAGGTAAAAGAGAAAATGATAAATTCTCTTAATGAAATTGTTAAAAATAAGACTGAAAATGGAAAAGAATTATTTCCAAATCTTTCTGATCTTGATCTCTTTCTAGATAAAGTGAGTGAATATAATAAGGTAATTAAATAATAAATAATACATTAGATTAAAAAGAAGTTGTAAATAACAGATTAAGATTTGACTTCACTGTAACATCTAAGAAGTACTAACTATACAGATCCTGAAATTGAAGATTCTCTATTGAAAGGGATGAGAGTCTAATCTCATCTCTAATCAATTTAAGAATATTTATGATTTATAATGAATCCATAAACTTTATGATCATTCAAATTTATATCTATTCTTTTAAAACCATTTTATATGATAGAATATTTATCTTGTCTATAAGTATAAGCTAAAACGATGGAACAATTTGTGAATTAATGGAAAGTGTAAGTATGAAAGATCAGATAATACATATATGATTGAAGCAGCCAAGCCACAAACTGATAAATATAATGATATTATTACAATAACTCTTTTTTGATGTAGTTTAATATCTTTAAATAGCATAAATTAATTAAATTGTTAAAGGTATACTATAAAACACTTTCATATAGTACAATATCCAATTTGTATTATCATTTTTAGTTTCATAGAGCATTAAATAAAAACCAGAAGCAATTATTGGAAAAACAATAATAGATTGAGGTTTTGGCAATTTTGATTTGTGATAAATAGACTTTTTTCTAAAAATTTCTTTCTTTTATCTTTTTTCAAAAACATAAATAAAATTTCCCATGGCTAAAAACATAGCACAAATTAAATGTTCAAAAAAATATAAATTCATGAATCTTTCATCATGTGCAAATTGATGAAATAAATGAGCTATAATTTTTAATGATTTATACCAATAGATTCTGCAAGTAAAGAAAGCATCATTACTGTTGATCCTAGCTCTCCTCTTACTAATCTATTTAAAGTAAGATGAACTATCATAAAAAGTGGAATGCATGAAAAAATGCCATGTAAAATCTTTTCATCTTTGAAATATATAGACAACATAAAAGTTATCCAATAAGTGATATCAGCATAAAATGGTAATTCTGGTTTTGGTGGTTATTTCCCACTTCTATACATATATACAATATAATATAATTATTAATTAAAATTTGAAATATTTATAAAAAAGAAAATTGAATATAACATTCATTTTGATAATTAGTAAAATATATAAATAAAATAAAGTAAAGATATTTTAAATATGAAAAACAATTAAGAAAAATAAAATAATATTTATTTATTGAATATAAATTTATCAATAGAATCCTCTATCAGCAACTTGAATGAGTTAAACTTCATTTATTAAAATATCCTAATCATTCATTAGAGCTTCAACCATCTCATTAGTTTATCTTTCTAAATCTGATGATATTTCTTATTATTAATTTTAATCTATTTAAACTTAAGGAATATCATCAACCCCAAGATTTAATGGAGTTTCTTATAAAGCTTATTCATCAAATTCAAAATCTTCATCAAATAATGGCATGCTTGTATCAACATCTGCAAGTGCATCTATTTCACTTAATTAAATTAAAGAAACATCTTCATTAGTAATAATAGTTTCTTTTGCATAATATTCATCTTAAGGAGTAGTTTAATTATCTTCTGATGTCATAGGAGCTTCAGAGCCTTCAAAATTTTCAGCACTTGTACCCATATCTGGTGAATTGCCATCATTTGAATATACATCTTCTTATTTAGTACTTACCATTTAATCAATAGTATCTTCAACAAAAGGAATATTATCAATTACATCATCATTGAATGATTATTAAACTTCAAGTAAATTTGTTGTTGCTGTTGATGAATGTTTTAATGCTTATTCGATAGCGTGTGTAGTTTATTTAGCAGCCTTATTTATTTAATATTATTATTTTGTAAGAGGTGGTGTTACTTACACTTCAGATTTGTTTATTACTCCAACATCATTACTTAAATCATGTACTTCTCCTACAGTGCTTTTCTAATTAATAAGACATACCTCTTCTTATGTTTCATATTATGACTACATAATGCACAAATTACTACTAGAGCCAATAAAACAATTCTCATTTATTTTATTAATAATCCGTTTTATAGTTTTATAGATAGTATACAAAACAAAATTCAATCTTATAATTAATATTTTGAAATAAAACCTAAACTAGCTTATATTTCATAAAATATTTATTAAGAATACTCTTTTGAATATTTCTTTTTCTTTGTAAAAAATTTAAAATTTAGTATATCGGTAATATCCTTATTAATTTGATACATCTCATTTTCTCTTTATAACTTGATCCTCTTGAAAATGTATCATTTAAACGATATTTGTCTGATCCCTAATAATTAATTCATGAATTACTGGGGTTCAGGTCTTGAAATTTGATCAATTTTCTCAAAAATCCTCTATTATTTTTGGAAATCTGATTAATTAAAGGTTTACTTTCTAATCTTTTGTGTTGTTAGAGATTTCAAATTTACAAACCAGTTGCTGGTCCATTAGAATGGAATATATTAATACGGCTATTTGATGTAAAACCTTTTTAAGCAAATAGCATTCTTTGATATTATAATGACCACTTCTGAAGAATTTAAAACATCATATCCTTAATTTTCAAATTTATTCTAGAAATTAAATGCAAGAGATTTTATCTATCACTCCTCCAATCATAAATTCCAGGTTCAATATCAATCAAAGTGGCATTATATATTATTCTTAAGTTTTGTTAAATATATTTTTTGAGGATTCGTTTTGTTAAACTTATTTTATGAGGGTTCGGTTTAATTATCTAATTTTATAAATAACAACAGATATTTTATATTCATATGTATCTTTTTTAGATATAGATCTAGGTTCATAAAGTTATTGCGAACTGATTTAGCAAATTTGAATCCTCCTTATTATTGAGATGTCCAATTATAATGATTTGGTCTAACATTAATTTAATCGTTATTTTCAGGAAAATTGTTTTATGCATAATATTTATTTTTTTTAATTAGAGCATTTCTTACAACGAATTTAAAGGTTAACAAATTTATTTGATTTTAAATTGCTAATTATCCCTAGAAACTAATAAAAAAAAAAAATTTTTCATCTTAAATAATATTTTTCTATTATTGTAAATGTAATTATGTTATATTAATCTTTTGTTTGAATTCGATTTATATTTACATAAAATAATAATAATTTTAAATTATATTTTTAGCTTTATTTGATTCCTTAAGCTAGCTTAAAAATCTAAAAACATATTTTGCAGTTCATGAAGTTCTCTACGTTTACTTGAAATTAGTAATTATTCAATCTCAAATGAAAAAAAGGATGATAAAAGTAAGAAATAATTAAGAACATCATAAGAGAGTTCGTCATTAAATTATCTTCTATTTTTTGCCAATACTAATAAAAGAAGAATTAGGACAATAAATTATTATTTTTTATAATGTATTATCAGAATGAAAACTAAAACTAGAAGATAAATTTGAAAGTCTTTAACGTAATTGTACTAAAATTGAAATAATATTTCTTTTAGATGATGATTAGTTTTTCTTCTCTTAAAAATTCAAGTCTAAAATATCGAAATCTTTGATCAAAAGTCTTCTCCAAAAAAATATTTTAAATATAACTTGCTAATTTGAACTGAAGATTATAAAAAATGATAGGTGTTGAAATAAAATAAAAATAAAATACAAAAAAGAAAAATGGTATATGATTTCATAGTTATTATTCATCTAAATGTGTTTAAATTTCATGAGCTGTATTTGCAATAGAATTCCATGAATGGAAGAGCCAGAAATCTTTCAATTTAAGTGAAAAAGATGATGTAATTAGTAATTACTTGAATTCTTCATAGATCTATTCATCCTCAGTTTAATAATAATCAAGTATATGTTAAATTAAATGTAATTAATTTTTAAATAACTTACGATTTTATTATTCTGATTCTAAGGCTGAATTTACCAAGAGATTAAGAAATCTAATATTTTCTTAATTTTCATTGATAATGAAATTGATATATAAAAGTTATCCATTCTTATCTTAATCTAGAAATGTTTATAAAACAACTCTCCATAATGTAGCTAATATTTTAGCATTTTGTGATGTTTTTAAAATAGTACAAATAGGCTTAACTAATTTTTGGCCAAAAATAATAAGATCATGTAATTTAGATAATAACTTACTGTTATCAATCAAAGCCATATTATGCAATATATCTGCTCCTCTCTTAATAAACACTTATTCTTATTTGTTTAGTAAGAAATAAACTGTTTCTGCTATTTCTCCAAATTTATGATATATTGATTAATCTTCAAATTAAGTCCAATATTTTAGGAACTATTTAAGTACATATACTAACTTTAGCTGCATAAATAATAATTTATGAATTGAGTGGTTCATTATTAATCTCATAACCTTAAGAATATAAGATCATTTTTTCTACTATTCTCAACATCCTAATATTATCACTTAATTCATCTTCATAAGTTTATTCTTCTGTTGATTTTAACATCCATACAGCTGCATCAATTGTCTAATAAATTAAAAATACTTAACTTTACATCTAATTAGTTCATATTATTATTTTTATGTAGTGCTTCAAAAATTCTATCCACCATTATCTATAAAAAATCTCCTTGAAGTTTTTGATTTTTCTCAAATTTATCTCTAATTTAGTTAGACATTTCTTGCATTTCAGTTTATTAAGAAAAGAGGGATTATATGTAATGTTTTCTTGATTCTTTGAATTGTTTTTCATTTCTTTATTTACGAATATTTACATGGAATTACTCTCTTTTCAAACTTATAATACCCGCGTAATCAAGCATATAATTAGATTCAAATTTAAATTATTAATCACTTAAAAATTTGAGAAAACTCATCAAATGTAATTCCATCACGATCATTTAAGTTCAGATATTTAAATATTTATTCTCTCTCATAAGGTTTCAATCTTCTATCAATAACTGAACATAATTTTGAAAATTCTATTTAATTCATCTCTTCTCTCATACTTTTTGCGAAGTTCTTAAAAATTAACTCGACTTCAACTTTATTTTCAAATACTATTCTTCTTAATTCTTTTATAAAATTCTATTTTATTATTTAATCTTACTTAAATTAAGTCATCTTTTATTTTATTTTTCTAATAATCATTTTTTACAATCAATTTATCTTTAAATTCATCTATATTTATATTACGATCATTATTAGTATCAAATTTATCAAAAATCTATTATTATTAAATAATATTATACTGCTTGAATATCTTCTTCTTTTATATCTTTTGCTATTTCTTTAATCATTAAACTAAATTCTTCAAAATCTAAATCACCCATTTAATCTTTATCATATTTTTAAAATATTTCTTCAACTTTTAATTTATTTGCTCTAATTATTTCTCTTAAATCTATAATAATTCTTTCAGCAAAATCTTCCTTTACATAATCATAATCAAAAAAGAATCTTTTAAATTCTTCATATCCTATTGATTTATCTTAATTTATATCCATTTTATCAAATAACAATTTAATTTCCTTTCCTGTTAATCTTGGATCTAATTAAATTAAAAATGAGAAGAATTCTTAAAAATCTAATGATCCCCCTGAATCTTAATCATATTTTTAAAATTAATCAAAAACATCTAAACCTTTATTTTATACTATTTTTTAAATTTAAGCTAATATTCTTTAACATTCTTAATCTAGACGATTTTCTAAATTCTAATAATGAATTTATTTTAATTACATAATTTCTTTCAATTTAATTTAGAATTACATGATTAAAAAGATTTTCCCATGATATTCTATCTTTTTCTTCTTTTTTTAGACATTATTTAATGAAATCTTAATATTCATCGGAGACTCTAATATCAACAGGAAATTTTAATGGTTATATTTTGATATTTAACGCATATGAAGGAATATCTCTACATGGCCAAGGTTATTTACCATAAACCATTTCATATGCCATAATTCCAATTGACCATATATCGCTTTTAGCTGTATAAGAATGTCTCTCTAAAAGTTATGGAGCCATATATAAAGGTGTTCCTACAGATTATCTAAAAATCTTAACATTGCTGCTAGTATCAGCTTTTGTTGCAAATCCAAAATCTGCTATCTTAAAACAATTATCTTTATAAAGAACATTCTCTGGTTTTATATCTCTATGTATATAACCTTTTTTTATCATTTCCTAACATCCAGACATAAATTATCTTAAAACTCCCAATGCTTCTGCTTCTTAAAGAACTCCTCCTTTCTATTTAATATATTTTCTCAAATCTCCATCACATAATTCTATTATCATATATGTGTATTTGTCATCACCGAAAACATCTATTAATTCTACAATATGTTCATGTCTAAATTATTTCATTACTGTTATTTCAGTTTCTAAAGATATAAGCATAGATTTGTCTTGAAACTATGACATATTCATTACTATATTATCAAATATTTATACTTTTTATTGCAACTTCTTTATTTCTATCTATCATAATCCCTTTATATACTTTCCCAAAAGACCCTTTGCCTAAATAGTCTTTATTGTCATATTTATAATTATCAATTTTTTTCATTAAAATTATTCATTAAAATATATACCTTAAAAAGATTCCAAGATTCATTATTATTTTATTTAATCATTAATTATCAGATATTAGATATATATTTTCTTATTTATAAGATATGATTTAATATTGATTTGAAATATTATCTATATTTATCCTTAAATTATATAGATTTTAAAAATAACATTTTTTCATTATATCATTAATCATAATTTCTATAATACTCATCATCTTTTTAAATAATTTTATGCTTGTTTGAATAAATAAAACATATTATTTCAATACTAAAGATAGTTTAAATATCAAAATATAATTTATTAAAAATGCAATAGTAAAAAAGTTATTTGGTTCCTGGATTACTAAAGTTAGGTATTATTTATATGTTTATTGATTGTAGGATTATTAAACGGAAATTAGCCAATCTATATATTGATTTTAAATCAAATAAGAGACATTAAAGAAGTAAGTCTTTAGATGCATTCATGTTTATAAACAATCAATGCTTTTAAGTATATTATTGATATAAATATAGTCCATTTATTTGGGTTATTTGTAATTAATAAACTCTTAGATTAGAAATTAGTGAAGTAAAACAAATTCTGAATTAATTGTGCAAGTATTATATAAAATGTTATAGAGAGAAATATTCCCTTATAACAATTATAAAGAATTGAAAAATTAATTTTTGTTAGTGATTCAATCCAATTACAACAAATTGTTAATGTAATCCCTAATGTTTGGTCAACTGTTTTGACAAATAAAATTCATCATGTTTTAAGGTATGAAAAATGACTATATAGATTGAATCAATTAGTGAATCACAACATTGAGTTAACCTAAAATTAGATAGACTTTTTATCTAGAATAAATAATACATATTAAGAAGAAATTCCATTTTATGGAAGAGATATTTCAGAATATCCAATAGGTTAATCAGGGATACCAGAGTTTTTAGAAGCAATTTTATAATATTATGAGAGACATGACGACTATTTAAAAAAATAAGGTAAAATTGTAATAAATTGGACTATTAGGAGTATTTAGATTATCAGGATCCATTTAAGAAGAATAAAAATTAATTTAATAGTTTTAAATCAGAAATTATTCAGTATTAGATTAATATGATTCTGATGTTGTCTCTTCAGTATTTAAAAATGTTTTATGCTAACTTAAATAACCCATATTTCCATTTGAAATGTATCATATGCTTAAAGAAACATAAAGTAAATATTTCAATTTAATTAAGTTAATGTTAGTAAAGAATAATTATTGGAAATGTTTTAAGTATTTTTTGCATACATGCCAGCAGTCAATAGAAAAACTACTAAAAGAATTGCTGAATTGTTGTTTCATGTGGCAGATTATGAATCTGAAAATATGGTAACACATATATTAATTATAAATATAGATGGGATTACAAAATTTATCAATTGTATTTGCTCCATGTTTTTTGAGACCAGAAGTGACAGATTTCTCTGATATACAAGGAGCTAAAGTTGTTGTTCATCATTTTAATTTATTAATCTAGAATGTTGAATATTTTTTATAGGAAATTAAGAGAGATCGAAATTCTTTTTCATAAAAGCTTTAGTCTTGATTTTATTTGTGTAATTTATATTTTATTATTTTTGCTATTGTATTTCTATCATTAATTCTATATTTCAAAGAATTTACTTAATTTTTTAGTTTAATTTTTAAAAAGAATTTTAAAGAAATTAGTTTAATTTAAGAATTACAAAAACTCTTTATAAGTTGTATATATAAAAGTTAGCTTAATTAAATGAAATAGCTACAAATAGTATTTATAAATAATAGGATTATCAAAAAATAATAGATAAAGCAAAAATAATTCTAAAAATATTAAGATAACGAATACAAATTAAAGTAGAATAATTTATTGGATATGTTGATAGAATATAATATTAAACATTATAAGTAATATAATTTTTAATATTTATAAAAATTGGGATTAATGTAATAAATAATAAATAATTTCTACTAACTATAAAATTGTAGTAAGAAATATAATAAATTTTTTAAAATATTCCTGAAAAATGATATATGAAATGGATATTAAAACATTAATACAATTTATTAAAAGAGATTAGACATCAGATGTACTAATAAGAGTATTTAATAATATCTTATTATATTAATAAGCAGCTAAAATTGAAATCTGAAGTTTGGATTGTTAAAAAAACAAATTAAATTAAAAGATAGCTGAGAAGGAATAACTTGAAATTTATTAAATAGGTTTTTATAAAGAAATTTCAAAAAGAGAAATGGATGGGGTCAAAGATAAAGAATGCAGAGGACATCATTAATAAAAAAGTTAATTTAATTGATGAAAAATAAAGATGATGTGCTGATGTACCTACTACTAAAATATTGAAAACTTTAATTACAGAGATAAATTTCTTATTTGATTAATTATATATGAATAAAATTGAAGTTTTAAAACAAGGCAATCAAATAACAAACTAATTAAGAGATGAATTAGTCAATCTTTTTTCCATGACAGATACTGAAGATGATTATCTATTAAGTAATAGAGCTCAAACTATTAAATCAGAAATAGAATAGAGATTTAGTAATTTTAACGATCTTATCTAGAATATCGATGGACCATTATTCTTTTTAGAAATGATGCACAATTTGAGTCTTCATTTGTTTTTGCAGAAGAATTTATACTTGAATTAAAATCAGAAGACTATGGAATGTTGGCTTATATTATACCTGATTAACCATTAAATTAATATGAACCAAGAAGAGACTTTGGTGTTAGAAAACCTTATTACAAAGATGTTATTGATTAATAACAATTCCAAAGTGATAAGTAAATCAATAGGCCTTTATTATTTTAATAGTTCACCTATTAGTTATCCAGGAATAAGATATCATCCTACATATTATCCTTGAATAAATTTTATATTATTAAATTAAAACCATTATTATTATATTTTACAATTCTAGTTGTTAATATTATTTTATTCCATGAGAATCAAATCATAACCTTAAAAACATTAAGAAGATCTCTTTGAAACTCATCATATTTAAAGTATTGATTAATTAACTAATTCAAATCAAAATTAACAAAATGAAGATTGTTTAGAACCTCTATATGAAGTTGAAGCTATTATGATGAAAAAAATTCAAAATTAACAATCTTTATATTTAGTCAAATGGAAAGGTTATTCTGAATTGACTTGGGAACCTACTTCCAGTTTATCTAATTGTTAATTACTTATTGATGAATTTGAACAATAAGAATCTTCTAAGAATGTCATTATTAACAAAAAATCTATATCCTAAAAAGTTATCACTAAATCCTAAAATAAATCCAATATATCAAAAAAAGGAGGTTCTTTTTAAAAAGAAGATTAAATTTAATCATTCTAAAATTTAGGTAGAACTATTATAATTAATGGAATTTCAAAAAAATAATTGAAAGTACTATCTTATTTTTTATTTAGCTTAATATTTAAAAAATTAAAAATGGTAAAACTAAATCTGCTTGGATTAATTTATAAGAATTACATAAAAAAGCTCCTTAAAAGCTAATTTAATTCTATGAATCCCTTCCTGCTATCAAAGAATTGTTTCAATAACCACTTTTAACATCTAAAATAAGTACATAAAAATGATAAAAACTTAAATATTATGAAATTTGTTATTTATTTAGTAAAAGAAGATTTTAAAATTTAGAAACATAAATGATATCTTCTTTTCTTAATTAAAAATTTGTTTTTATTTCAATTAGGAGTGCAATTGCATTAGTAAATTTGACTCTATTTAATAACTTTTAAAATTATATCTGAAAATAAAAATGGAAGATTCTTATTACATTTATAATTATTTTTCATTTTTAATATATCAGTTTTTATAATTTGTTTTTATAAAAAAATAATTAAATCTCCTTCAGTTTCTATTTA